CACATAAACCTAGGTTATCAACGCATTCTCTTTAAAGCCTGTAGTGATTGGTTCCTAATGGAGTATGACAGGATTGTTGAAGATGCACATAGACCTAGGTTATCAACACATACTCTTTAAAGCTTGTGATTGGTTTCTAATCCAGTATGACAGGATTGTTGAAGATGCACATAAACCTAGGTTATCAACACATACTCTTTAAAGCCTGTAGTGATTGGTTCCTAAATAAGTATGACAGGATTGCTGAAGATGCACATCAACCTAGGTTATCAACACATACTCTTTAAAGCTTCTAGTGATTGGTTCTTATGGAGTATGACAGGATTGTTGAAGATACACATAAACCTAGGTTATCAACACATACTCTTTAAAGCCTCTAGTGATTGTTTCCTAATGAAGTATGACAGGATTGTTGAAGATGCACATAAACCTAGGTTATCAACACATACTCTTTAAAGCCTGTAGTGATTGGTTTCTAATGGAGTATGAAAGGATTGTTGAAGATGCACATAAACCTAGGTTATCAACACATACTCTTTAAAGCCTGTAGTGATTGGTTCCTAATGGAGTATGACAAGATTGTTGAAGATGCACATAGACCTAGGTTATCAACACATACTCTTTAAAGCCTCTAGTGATTGGTTCCTAATGGAGTATGACAGGATTGTTGAAGATGCACATACACCTAGGTTATCAACGCATTCTCTTTAAAGCCTGTAGTGATTGGTTCCTAATGGAGTATGACAGGATTGTTGAAGATGCACATAAACCTAGGTTATCAACACATACTCTTTAAAGCCTGTAGTGATTGGTTCCTAATGGAGTATGACAGGATTGACATCAGTGAAATCTTCTTTACAGGAAAGGAATGTTCAACCAAAGTTAGGTGAAAATAGGGGTCTACCGTGAAGAACATTTGTTGTGTTTGATGATATCGATATGATTAATGCAGTAACATATAACAAAGCACTCACACAATGGAAGAGAAGAAAAACTTTCTCCAAAAAGAATTCTGTCTGAAATCCTTGTAGATAGACTTAGGCATCAACCATTCATAATTTGTTGGATGCGTTTTTATGCCCCCACCGTAGTGGAGGAGGCATTAAGTTTTACCCTTGTCCGTCTGTACGTCCGTCCGTCCGTACGTACGTCCATACGGCGTCCCAAAATTGGTTTCCGTTCTCTAACTTTAGTTTGCCTCAACCAAATGTTATGAAACTTATACACTATGCTTATTACCACAAAACACAGATCAAGTTTGGTGGCGCCACTTTTACCGTTCTAGAGTTATGCCCCTTTACAAATGGAAAAATTGCTGAATTTTTCGGTTCCGTTCTCTAACTTTATTTTGCCTCAGCCAAATGTTATGAAACTTATACACAATGCTTAATATTATAAAACACAGATCAAATTAGAATTTTGGTGGTGTCACTTTTACTGTTCTAGAGTTATGCCCCTTTACAAATGAAAAAATTGCTGAAATATTCGTTTCTGTTCTCTAACTTAAGTTTGCCTCAGCCAAATGTTATAAAATGTATGCACAATGCTAATTACCACAAAACACAGATCAAGTACAACTTTGGGTAGCGTCACTTTTACAGTTCTTGAGTTCTGTCCCTTTATAACGTTATATGCACGCGGGGGCATCATCTGTGTCCCATGGACACATTCCCCATTTATTTTTTTTACTTTATTAGAAAATAAAATACAGGAATAAGCTTTTATTTTATACACAATGCCGTATCTATTATTTTTTTTCAAATTTTAAATGGAAACCTACAATCAGTGTCTTATAAATAATCATCAATAAAATGCTCTTGTATTTTTATAAGAATTATTACTATAACATGTATTTTTCTTGTTTCAATCTAAGACCATATATATATATAGACTAGAGAATAATGAGCGAAAAAGTGAAAATTAGAGAAAAAAAGAAAAAGTAGACTAAGTGATGCCCCGCACTCCACTCTGAAGTAACTATATTATAACAAAATCAACGTAGGACTTTCTTTGAGATATTGTTGTGTCTGGGAGACACAAATGATGCCCCCACAGATGCAAAGTGTTATTTAAAAATACATAAAGTTGAGAATGGGAGCACATAGATCTATGGTTCACTGTAGGGGGAGTTATCCGGAAACGCTATGCACTCTTATGCAAGTATATACTCCAAAAATGACTAAGTTCAACAATCTCCCAAAAGAGCAAATGTTAATAAAAATCAAAACCCTGACCACTTACACACCTTCAATATATGTACAAACAGCCAGCAAAGTGAAAACGTCCTAGCATTCAAACTGTAGGAGAAGTTATCTGGAAACACTATGCAAGTAAATACTCCAAAAATGACATAGTTCAACTATCTCCCAAAAGAGCAAATATTAATAAAAATCAAAACCCTAATAAAAGAGGGACGAAAGATACCAGTGGGACAGTCAAACTCATAGATCGAAAACAAACTGACAACGCCATGGCCAAAAATAAAAAGACAAACAGACAAATAATAGTACAAATGACACAACATAGAAAACTAAAGACTAAGCAACACGAACCCCACCAAAAACTGGGGGTGATCTCAGGTGCTCCGGAAGGGTAAGCAGATCCTGCTCCACATGTGGCACCCGTCGTGTTGCTTATGTTATTACAAATCCGGTAAATAGTCTAATTCGGTAAGTCACATTCGTGAAAAGGGAATGGTATTGTAGTTACGACATAAGGAACATATCCGATATCATCTGTGAAACGGTTATTCCCTAACGGTCAACCAACTCGTGATGGCGTCCGTTAAATTTACGAAGGGATGATTTCAACTTCACCATTTGGAACTCTTGGCTTAATAGCTTCCTTCTGAGCAGCAATCCTCTATCAAGGAAATCATGATGGGAAACACAAGCCCGGGAATATCGTATCAATTTGGAGATATATACTCCGTATGCAGGTGCTGCTGGAATGTTGCTACATAGAAATGGAAAGTTCACAATTGGGAAGCTGAAATCATCTCTTTTGTCGTAAAGTTTTGTTTTCAACCGACCCTCATTGTCAATTTCTAGATGTAAGTTAAGATATGAGGCAGACTTAACTGTATCTGTAGTATCCTTTATCTCTAGTTCGATGGGATAGATTCCTTCAACATAGTCACCAAATTTTGTATTATTTAGTGAGAGAACATTATCTATATAGCGGAACGTAGAGTTAAAGGATATTGCTAACTTCTTATCTTTCTTCCTACGAAGTTCCTGTATGAAGTCAGCCTCATAATAATAAAGAAACAAGTCGGCAAGAAGAGGGGCACAATTGGTTCCCATTGGAATTCCGACAGTCCGTTGAAAAACACGTCCTCCAAACGTAACAAATATGTTGTCAATCAAGAAATCAAGCATCTTGATAATGTCAGTTTCAGAGAATTTTTTGTTTGAATCAGAGTGATAACATGCACACCTTCAATATATGTACAAACAGAGAGCAAAATGAAAATAACTATATACCCATAATAGGACGGAAGGACGGACGGACAGACAGACGGACGGACGGACAGGGGTAAAACAATATGCCCCCCTCCCCCAACTTTCAGTTGCGGGGCATATAACTAAAGAATAGAGAATAAAGGGGTGCATAAATATAAAGAATATATCCCAAGAGTGCAAAAATTATCGCCTGCTAAGAATGAGGTCATGGTCAGAAGAACCTACCAGACCGGCATGTACACCTTACAATCAATCCATACATCAACTGTAGTTGACCCATTTCTCAAACCGAAATGTACACATTACAATCATTCCATACATCAACTATAGTTGACCCATTGCTTTTAGTATCCAAGAAAGAGACCAAACCATGAATATTTAACATTGACCAATGAACCATAAATTGAGGTCAATGTCAGAAAAATCTGCCAGACAGACATGTACACATTACAATCATTCCATACACCAACTATAGTTGACTTGTTGCTTATAGAACCCAAGAATGAGACCAAACCATGAATATTTAAATGAAGTCAACGTCAGATGAACCTACTAGACACATGTTCACCTTACAATCATTTGATACACCAAATTTAGTTGACCTATTGCTTTTAGTATCTGAGAAACAAACTTCCACTTCTGTTTCAGGTTAGGGTGAAGGTTGGCGCCTGTTAAAACATTTAAACCCGCTGCATTTGTATGCACCTGTCCTAAGTCAGGAGTCTGTTGTTTAGTGGTTGTTGTTTGTTAATGTGGTTCATAAGTGTTTCTCATTTCTCGTATTTCATATAGATTAGACGGTTGGTTTTCCTGTTTGAATTGCTTTACACTAGTCATTTTGGGGCCCATTATAGCTTGCTGTTAGGTGTGAGCCAAGGCTCCGTGTTGAAGGCCGTACTTTGAACTATAATTTTTAACTTTTTATAAATTGTGACTTAGATGGAGAGTTGTTTCATTGGCACTCATACCACATCTTCTTATTTATATCTATGCAAAGTCTGTAACTGTTTTAAAATTGAGTTGATATAAGAACCCTACAAAACAGACCAACATTTGTCTCTTATTTCGCATTTGAATGTTCTAAAATCAATCAAAGTCTTATACATATACATGTATACGTGCATTTGCATACAATATTTTTTTCAGATGCAGCTCATATCTGAACTTAATTTTTGTTCCATGGTGCCCCTAGATAGAGTTTCTGGATCAGCCCACGGCAGTAAATGAACATCTTAAGTTCAATAAACAGTTCTGTGATTTAGTTTTTATTTACATCAATCATCAAGCATGTCTTTGGGTCGCATCCGTATATTCTGTAAACCAAGAAATTTTTAGCTTGTATTTTGTAAGAGGGTCTAGATAGGGTTTTCATATCTGTATCTTTTAATTTTTAAAGGCATTTTTTTTCTCTTTTTTTTTCTTTTTGCCCATTATTCTCTGTTCTGTAAACACCAAACAGACCCTCATTCATGCTATAGGCTGACAATATCCCTGTATTCTCTTCTGTTGTAAGGACATAAAAACATAAGAAAGCTCAAGATTTTATATATTCTTTATTATCAATTGTCAAACTTGAAATAGTATAAACAATGGTGAAATACTGACTCAATCATCTCATCAGGCATATAAGTATTTTGACATAGTATGTCGTCTCTCATGATTCAGACATATTATGTCATCCTTCATGATTCTGACATATTATGACATCTTTCTTGATTCTGACAATTTATGTTGTCTTTCTTGATTTTGACATATTATGTTGTCTTTCTTGATTCTGCCATTTTATGTCGTCTTTAATGATTCAGACATATTATGTTCTCTATTCAATAATAAGCTTAAGTCAGTGAATGTTAGTTTATACATCAAAAAATTAAATCATGTAGTATCTCTACAATGAAAATCTGACTGCAACACAGGGAATGTTTTCATAACGTATACAGAAGTCAGAGGTCAGAGGTCAGAGGTCAAGAACTAAAGTCAGGTGAGCAGGTGAACAAAAAAAAGAAAGAACAAATATTCATGCAAAAATTTAAATCAGATGAACATATAATATATATATTAAAAACTGATGGATTTCTGACATAACACAAAAAATGGATGGATTTCTGATATGACACAAAAAATGGATGGATTTCTGACATTACACAAACAACAAAAGATTGGGATTAAAAAAAATAAAAATAGTGCAAGACAAAAAAAAATTAAAATAGGACAAACCAGGGACGGATTTCTGGTAACTGAACACTGACTTAATATGATAACCATAGAAATAGTACAATAAAGAAAAAAATTGAATAGGACAAATCACGGATGGATTTCTGGTAACTGAACACTGCAAATAACGGACAGATTTCTGGTAACTGAACACTGACTTAATATGATCACCATAGCAATGGAACAAGAAAAAATTAAAATCAAAGAAATCAATGATGAATGTGTACTTAAAGTGGCTTAATATGATCACCATGGCAACAATGGCAATAATGATAGTGAAATGATAATTGGTAATGAATTAGAATATGTAATTGTTGAAAACAAAACAAAACTGCATGTAAAAATAACAGTGTGTAGACAGTATTACAAGTCACATACATATACATGTGTGTAGAAAGTATTACAAGTCACATACATATAAATGTGTGTAGAAAGTATTACAAGTCACATACGTATAAATGTGTGTAGAAAGTATTACAAGTCACATACATATAAATGACATAACAATACTTTGATTATAAACTCTGTAAAAGATGAGAGGCCATGTTTAAATTGTAGTTCCTTAAGGTACTAAATTTGCCTTAATCTTTACCATGTTATATTTGTTAATTCATTTTACATCTTTTATTGAACATGTACAGCAATTAATGATGAATAAAAGACTTATTACATAAAATAAATCATTATTACATTTGTAGTAGAGGGACATGTATATGTATCACCTCTGTCCAAAAATGTGGGTTTTTTTGCATGGAATAATTTAAAACAAAAGTCATTTAAATAGAATAAAAATGTACAGATATGGCAAGAAAAACATGATGCACAACAATGTGTGAAATCTTTTATTGTTGATTTAAATTTTTGGATATTGAACTGTTCCATTGAAAGAATACAATAGCTACTGTTCTCAGTGGAGTTTATTCATGGGGACATTTTAATTTCTCTTGAGAGATATCCATCACTCACTGATTAATTTACCTGAAGAAACAAATGATCCAAGTATACTTTCAATGGGACAGTTCATTGTCCAAATATTTAAATGGACACATGAGGAATAAAAGCAGATGACTGTATTTATATATGTATAATGGAGAGGTAAATGGTATCAAAACAAGAAAGAAGCACTATTGTCATACTAAAGACATTATCACAACACTACAATGGAAGAATGGTATACCAGTATGATAAATACTTCTGTTTAACAGAAACCTACAATAAATAATTACTATAATAAATCTATCTTCAATTAAAACAATCAATAAATTATTTAATCTAATAACAATTAATTACTTTAAATTACTTTGTATTTACAAATAAATATAACTTCACTGGTCACATGACCAAAATGTATAACCTAATATCGATTTTATATTCAATAGGAAACATGTTCAGGTTATTTGTTAAGATTTGATCAATTCTATTAATTTCCTCAATATTTATTTATCATCATTTGATCATTTTCATCATAATTTAACACATCAATAGAAGTAATACTCTCATAATCAAATAAAACCATATCAAAACTTCACAATTCAAAAAATGCTCATTTCTTAAAATTTCATCCTTATGATTATTTTCCAGAATTTAAGCTTGTACTGAAACTATCTATCTGAAACTTAAAAAAATATGATAAAAGATAAACAAATAAAAAAAATAGTGGTGAAAAGACACTAAAAATATTTAACATAAAAATGTATATATTCTAAGAGAAACCAAATTATTCAACTCCTGAAATTTGCATCAATATATTTATAACCCTCAAATAAGCCATAATGCCATAAAAGAATTATTCAGAGATATTTATTCAATATATTTTTCTTAAATTGTTAACCCTCAATTATTTGAAGTATTAATTTCACTTGAAAAAAACATGTTTTAGAATAAAGCAGATATTTAATCTTTGAAAATTAAAATCTTCCTTGTCATAAAAAAACAGTAGTTGAAAATGTGATTGTTTAGACAAGTTTACTTAATAGTTTTCTACAACAAAATGATAAGATTGTTACTTTCCTTTAAAACCCAAAAGTCAAACTTAAAAAAAAAACTAATTTGAAGTCTTTGAAGACAAACTTATGTTTAAACAAAATAAATATCATTTACATTAATATTAGCAAATATTTCACTGGGTTGACAAATTATTTGTTGTAAAAGAATGTTTTTATCTTAAATAAAGCAATTCATTATTAATATATAAAGTTAAAATGAGACAGAATGATTAATGTATGATTAAATATAAATATGCTTATAATAATGGAATGTAAAAATAAAATGGAATGACTGTTGCCATGTAAAACAAATGGACGGGATACATATATTATATTCTGGATGGAATCATAGTTAAAACTGAATGGACGGACATAAGTCATTGCACAATTTCTTGACGAAGAATAAATTACTTTCCTCTCTTATCAATCAAACTCATTCACACAGAAAATCTAATGCTTTTCTCACTATGTAATACTGTTTCTATGGTAACACCAATAATAACTGCTACCTAGGTGGTTCAGAATGTCTACTGTTTCTATGGTAACACCAATGATAACTGCTACCTAGGAGTTTCAAAATGTCTACTGTTGGTAATTTCGGATCTGATTGGTCCAAGTGGAGGAGTTCTCTCCCTTGTACTTGGAGAGACATTATAATATCCACACTGCTTCAGTACACTTTCAATCATATATTGCATCTGTTCATAAGTGACACCACCGTCTCTGTTATCAGGATCACACTGATTTGTTTCTAGAATATATAAACATATTATTAATTCTGTATTCATTGTCTTTATTCTCTTTTACAGAAAGTGTTGAGTCTGTTTTATGACCCTAAAATAAGCCATAATGCCAGGTAGTTTATTTAGATGATTGACATACATCTTATTTTATCTTAGAGTTAACTATTTTTAAACACAGAGAAAATATGAATGAAAGTTGTAAGGGGAGTAACTCAAACATTTTGATATTATCAATATTAAATGATATAAACGTATTTACACTGTTGGTATTTAGCTGAATTTTGTCTCCGAATGACCTTAGATCTGCTCCGAATAACCTTTTGGCTTCAAGAAACAATCACTTTTTATTCGTGACGTCATATTTTTTAAATTGTGATGTCAAATTTTACGGTAACTTGTACGACTTTACGTAATGGTGGACAAATTTGCATACAAGTGTAAATACGTCTATTCAATCTTATTAAAAAATTATACCTATATATATAAAATAAAATCAATGCATGAATGCATTTTTGCGCCTGTCCCAAGTCAGGAGCCTCTAGCCTTTGTTAGTCTTGTATTATTTTTAATTTTAGTTTCTTGTGTACAATTTGGAGTTTAGTATGGCGTTCATTATCACTGAACTAGTATATATATTTGTGAAGGGGCCAGCTGAAGGACGCCTCCGGGTGCGGGAATTTCTCGCTGCATTGAAGACCTGTTGGTGACCTTCTGCTGTTGTCTGTTCTATGGTCGGGTTGTTGTCTCTTTGACACATTCCCCATTTCCATTCTCAATTTTCTGAATGCTTTATTATTCCCCTTTATCTAAAAGATATTGGTAATATACAAACCAAGTCTATCTATTCCCCTTGTTTCTCCATCAGACATATTTTCTTTGTCCTGCGAACTGGTAGAACTAGAACGACTTCCGCTATCTACTGGTCCTAAGTTTAAATCAATTACCTCCCTTGATCCACACATCAACTAAAACATCAAATAAAATTATACACCAAATGTTTTCTCCAATTCTTTTGATTACACATCTATTTACATGTCTAATTGTCATCATGTTAATGTATTTATGTATTTACTTCAAACTGTTTAATATAATGGCTAGAAACAACATTATTTTGTTTATTAATTATTTTGGATTGTTGATCAAATAGATGACATAACAGCAGACTAATTTGAATGATATTGCTCTGCTATAAATGATTTCAAACACTAATATAGTCTATATGATGAGTTGTGTAATAATAAAGAAGCCTATACACTTGACAGAGTGCATTTAATCCCTTTTAAATCTTTCTGCACTTAATAAAACAATAATAATCCAATAAATAAACAAAATATTGTTTCTAGCCTATGTACCAAACAGTTTGAAGTAAATACATAAATGCATTTATATGATGACATTTTGCTTGCCCCCACTTGATCAAATTTAGATTAAATAGCTTATTTTTGTGAAATTTATTTATTGTTGATATAAAGACAGTTTCGAGTATGGTCTTTAAGATATTTCCTTTAAAGTCTAAGTTAGCTGATTTAAATATTGCATAACTGGTACTAAATTTATAGTTATATCATTTTTTTTTTGCTATTAAGAGTTGATGTAATAGAATAGACTTTAAAGGAAATATCTTAAAGACCATACTCGAAACTGTCTTTATATCAACACTTTAAAGTCTATTCTATTACATCAACTCTTAATAGCAAAAAAAAAATGATATAACTATAAATTTAGTACCAGTTATGCAATATTTAAATCAGCTAACTTAGCTAAATCTGTTTTGTGCATTCATATCAAAGTGCATTCAATTCTCAGTGTGTTTATATCAAGTGCATTTTTTAAGCTGTTACTTTATCAAAAACTTCTCAAAAATTATGTAATTTGTATTGTTCATTACCATTTAAACTGTCTTAAATATGTTCCAGTTTTAAAATATGAAACAAAAAGTAAATTTAAGAACCATCTTACCTTTTTTAATTCACTTTTCAAATTAAACGTTGTACTATGAGAAGCAAACAATGCTCTCTTAAATCGTTCAATCATTCTCCTCTTTGTGTGAGGTCTCAGTGTTGGGGGTAACTGAGTTATATATAGTATTTTATGAAGCTGATGCAACATCTGTAGAATTGGGTCACTTATTTGTCTAACACGTCTCTGTGAAATTGTCAATGTTGGAGTATTAGCACTGTTTGGACGTTTAACTTTTTTCTTATTAGAACGTATGACATTGACTGCTGGACTACTGTTTGAGCGATGGTACTTTTTAAGTGATAATCCCTGAAGATGTCCATTGACAAGAGGATCAAGTGAAACAATTGTACTTGTGTTTGTACTGTTATTAGGTGATGGGTCACCAGAACTAAGTCCTGAATCACGACTACTTTTCCACGGAATATCTAAGTTTAAAGGTGTTATTGAAGATTTGGATTTCTTTAATTTCCCTCCATGAAATACTTTAGGAGATCTTGGTGGTTTAGGAAGCTGATGAGTGACATATAGACTTGAGCGGTCAAGGGATCTCTGACTACCAGCACTATTTTCTCGACTGTCATTTTCACTACTGTTATAACTGTCATCATCATCACTTGTCCAGCCTGAAACTAAATACCTTAATTATCAGTAAAATTATAAACATGCTCTAATAGCAGATAAACATTTCAAAAATGTACAGTTAAAATCAATCAACATCCTACATGGATGGATTGATTAATGTTTACCATTCAGTGGCAAATATTTCATGTATATCATCAAGAGTACATGTTAATGTGATTTGAATATGGACCCTGCTTTATATTAGACCAAAACACTAAATCAGACTTTTCTTATGCTATTTCACAAGGTTTGCAAGAATACTCGTCCTACCCATTATTCTGACTAAGCCAATCCTCCTTCTTTGCTTTATCTCCTTAAGGCCATGCGCTGCAAATACCAATTTTAAAATGATTTGACAAACCAGGGATTGAACACACTACAGCCTGCAATCGAGGGGTTCAGCATTCAAGATGTCTTTTGGTTAATTGTATAGTCAAATTGCTGTCTAATTGAGGTGTACCAAACATCCTCTTTCAATCAAATGAATTGACCCAATATTGCATTACTACTGATTCTACCAAGACGTCTAACTTTCATACCTCTTTCATTGTCATCAAGATCCTGATTAAGTTGTGAGTTACATCCAGAATTCCTCAGTAATTCAATATCAACAAAAGCTGGATCTAATATTTCAGCATCTTTCAAGTCTGAAGCCCCGCCACTTCCTGCTAAATTGGCCAGACGGTCATAACGTTCTTGTGACAAAACAAATAATCTATGATAATTCTGCATATTCTGGTTAGCTTCAAAATAATGTCTAAAAAAAAAATAAAACAGTGAAAATCAAAAATGCATTGAAACTATTTTTCAAAATTCCAAAAGTTCTTGAATATTGAAATATTCTTTTTTTATGCTGTTAGTAAAAAGGATGATGGACGTTTGGCTGCTTAATGTTCGGTGGAAAATCAAATGCATTTTCATGTTGAGAACAGGAATATAAAACCTGCTTTGCACTAAACCGACACACTGAGTCTGATTTTTTTACGTGCCAGTTCACAATACACTGAGCCACTGAGGCCGTTTAGTAAAAAGGTATATTGGGTATATTGTAACAATCTACAAATTTTCATTTTCTTTTTAATACCTTGACAATAACAGGGATCCAGAACACAAATATATTTATCATGGCCTATCAATAGAGAAAACTTTTACATGTGAATATGATAGTGAAGTTGTTCCTTTTTTTATATCTGCAATCTTAATTAACCAACTGCATGGTGAAAATAAAATTAAACACTTTCATTTGATAAAAATAACAGGTAACCTGATTTATTGTTGTTATAAGTACAAAGTTCATTAAAGTATATATGGCCTTTGTTAGTCTTGTATCATTTTTAATTTTAGTTTCTTGTGTATAATTTGGTGTTTAGTATGACGTCCATCATCACTGAACTAGTATACATATTTGTTTAGGGGCCAGCTGAAGGACGCCTCCAGGTGCGGGAGTTTCTCGCTGCATTGAAGACCCATTGGTGACCTTCGGCTGTTGTCTGCTCTATGGTCAGGTTGTTGTCTCTTTGACACATTCCCCATTTCCATTCTCAATTTTATATATATAAACTGACCTGATTTGGTGTTGTTCCTAAACAAGGTCAAATATGGTTTATTTTTAGGAAACTACAAATACCACAAAACATCTTTTTTATATCTTTTTTATTTGTTTATTTTTGTTTGTTATCTTGCTGACTCTCTGTTCTATTTTTGTCTCCATGGAGGATTGTTGTTTTTAGGTTGTTGCCACCTTCATGTTACCCCTAAAACATTTATGTTTTATTTGACTGTACCTTTGAGCTTTGTTCCTCTCTTTTTCTAACTTTTTCTCCATAGTGGATTGTTGTGTGGCCATACTATCTATATGTACCATGAGTTTATCAGCCATTGTGCTAGCAACTTCAACAATATCTGGACGTTTCTCTGGTGACTCACAAATACAACTAAAACAAGAGTTTAATTGCTACAAAATTACAATATCATCAGAACAACATTTTCATGTTAAATATATTCTAATAAAATTTAAAATCTTTTAATTCAAAATTTTTTTATATCCAATTATCTTGCAGTAGTTATTGAAAAAGTGACACATAAATATTACACCAGAATAAATTGTGTCCAGTATATTTCCAGTATTCAATGTTATTATTTACAACTTACGTTTTAGCCACATTTATTAGCCTATCTGTATAAGTTCCTGATGGAATTGGGTCATAAGATGCTGAACATATCTGAAAATAATTCATATAGTTATCACTTAATATCCCTTTATCAATAAAAACTTTTCATTCAGTAATTAGGGCTTATTTCGGATTTTAATTCTATAACTAACTTCTTTTTATGAACTAAATTTTTTATTAAAGCAAGATTTTTTTCTGATTCTAATACTCTGACCCTTTTCTTATGTCAGAGAAACAAGATAACATCTGCAAGGAAGACATGTCACTCTACCTGGACTCATTATTCTGACTGATCCAACCAGTCCTTGTTCTTTCTTCTAAATGCCATGTGCTTGGTGGAGAAGCAGCAAATAACAATTGTCAAGTCTTTAACCCAGCAAGGGATTAAACCTACAACCTCCCCCACTCTAGGCAAACATGCTACCATGCATCAGATTATCAATGTTTTGTTTTAAAATTTTCCCAATGAATTATGTGGTTTTGTTAGAAAATATATGTCAATACAAATTATACAAGTAGTTTCACTGATGTAGTGGTCATACAGGAAAAAGGTCTATTCTATGTAAATCTTAGGAAGTTGAAATATCTTTTTATGTTAAAACTGTGATAGTATATTCAAGAGTATTTGAGGTCACAATGAAGTGAAAGTGGGGTTAGCTCTGCTCAATCTTTAGGATTCTGTGTATTATTGAGGTCACAATGAAGTGAAAGTGGGGTTAGCTCTGCTCAATCTTTAGGATTCTGTGTATTATTTTGAGGACTGTTGTTTGACTTTTTTATTTTTGTTATGTTTTGTGTGACCTTCAACTTTTAATTTTGATTGCTACAATCTTGGTATCTTACCTTTTCTATTCAGACCAGTCGAGTATCAAATGAATAACATTAATTTATCATCTTATTATTTGAAAACTACTTTTATATTTAGGGGACCAGCTGAAGCCCGCCTTCAGGTGCAGGATTTTCTCAATGCGTTGAAGACCCATTGGTGGCCTAAGGCTGTTTTCTGCTTTTTACTCAGGTTGTTGTCTCTTTGACACATTCCCTGTTTCCATTCTCAATTCTATATATAATATATGTATATACCAAATACTAATTGAAAATAAAAACAAGGAGCAAAAGATTTTAGTAATGTAAGAAAAGTGACATTCATGAATAAATGTAACATCAAAATTCTATCATTAAAAAATAATGACTTTATTTCAAAACCTCATTCCTAATGCTTGACATCTGTTTACTAGAATGACATGTTATGGTGACTAGCAATAACATTTTAAAACACAAAAACATCTTGGTAACCATGACAACATGTACACTAACCTTAGTAACTAATGACAACATGTTATCACTGTAGAATGGAGGCTTTAACATACACATCTGATACAGAATGCATCCTAGAGCCCAAACATCAGCCTTCTCTCCATAAGGTTGGTTCTGCACTATTTCTGGGCTGAAAAGAAAACTTCATGCTTTACATTGAATGAATACTTCATGTAAAAACACAGAAATTCCAACAGATTTCTAAATAGATTCCTTAAAAAGAACTTCTTATAATATTTTATGACTGCAGTCACCACACTATGTGGCATATAACCTCAACAAATTGTCTCTACTTATTGAAAAAAAAATCATTGGCCAAACCCCATTTATTACAATAATTCTCTTCCTATCTAACTTTACCCTAAATAACTTGTACTTACCACCAATATACAATAGTACCAACTACTGAAGTCATTTTACTACAATCACTCCTTTTCTGTTTGGCCAATCCAAAGTCAGCTGAAATACACAATGTATCATTTAAATAGTAATGTTGTATTTAAAAAAAAACTCTGCATTGACTTACTTACACACTCATACAAAATGTTATTAAAGTAAAGAAAATAAATAATTACAGAAGAAGATTTAATCAGTCAAGAGTTAGTTACTGTACTGCAATTGTATTACAATTTTTGATTGTAATGAATATTGTGACAAGTAAATTCATTAGACAGCAGAAAACCTTGATACTGCTTTTAGTGTAGTGTTATTGTATATCTGTCTAACTGATCCAGTGGTAATTCAAGCCTAAATCAACCAAATACTAAAATTTCATTGCAAGACTAACCCATTTCAGATCATATTATACATTGAGTTGCTTCCCTTTGTCCAGTTGGAAATTCATTTAGATACGAGCAGAATGTTTTTAAAATATTTCATCTTTCAAACTTTTGCCTTTGGAACAAAGATAACTTAATACTAATCAAATAAAGTATTACCAAAGGGATCTTTTTGTGAGCCAAGACTTCTTTTAAATAACTTACTAATTGTAACTTTGTCATTTTCACCTAACATGATATTTTTTGGAGCCAAATCCCTGTGTAAAATTCCTTTTTCTTTGTGCAGGTATCTCAGTGCAAGCACCATCTGAAAGTTCAAGAGAAGAACAAATTATAAACCATTGAGAATAAAGAAGAACAAGATCAGTTAACTACTTAATTCCAGTTATCTGTTTGCACAATTCTAAAACCTATGACAACTACAAGATTGGTTACATTTTTATGATAGTAAATGATCAGGGAAAATTTTTTCTGCAACAAATTTTTAAGAGTGATAAAATGCTGATAGTTCTCTCATTGAGGTCTATGGTTTGGACAAGGGCAGGAAGGATGGCATGGACTTTGCTGGATTGTAAACAAAACCAAGTTTAAAGATGTTTTGAGTTTTGAATGTCTGTTTATCACTTTTGGCAATACATTGATATAATTGTAAACTAGAGGCTCTAAAGAGCCTGTGTCGCTCACCTTGGTCTATGTGCATATTAACATATAAACAAAGGACACAGATGGATTCATGACAAAATTGTGTTTTGGTGATGGTGATGTGTTTGTAGATCTTATTTTACTGAACATTCTTGATGCTTACAATTATCTCTATCTATAATGAACTTGGCCCAGTAGTTTCAGTGGAAATTATTTTGTAAAAATTTACAAAATTTATGAAAATTGTTAAAAATTGATTATAAAGGGCAATAACTCCTTAAGGGGTCAATTGACCATTTTGGTCATGTTGACTTATTTGTAGGTCTTACTTTGCTGTACATTATTGCTGTTTACAGTTTATCTCTATCTATAATAATATTCAAAATAATAACCAAAAGCTGCAAAATTTTCTTAAAATTACCAATTCAGGGGCAGCAACCCATCAACGGGTTGCCTGAATGGTCTGAAAATTTAAGGGCAGATAGATCTTGACCTAATGAACAATTTTGTTTTGAAAGATTTGCTCGAAATGCTTTGGGTTTAGATATATGAGCCAAAAACTGCATTTTACCCTATGTACTATTATTAGCCATGTCGGCCATCTTGGTTTGCGGGCGGGGTCATCAGACACAATTTTTAAACTACATACCCTATTGATGATTGTTTACAACTTTGGTTAAATTCATCTTAGTAGTTTCAGAGGAGAAGATTTTTGTAAAAGATAACAAAAATTTACGAAAAATTGTTAAAAATTGACTATAAAAGGGCATTAACTCCTTAAGGGGTCAACTGACCATTTTGGTCATGTTGACTTATTTGTAGAACTTACTTTGCTGAACATTATTGCTGTTTACAGTTTATCTCTATCTATAATAATATTCAAGATAATAACCAAATACGGCAAAATTTCCTTAAAATTACTAATTCAGGGGCAGCAACCTAACAACAGGTTGTCCGATTCATCTGAAAATTCCAGGGCAGATAGATCTTGACCTGATAAACATTTTAACCCCGTCAGATTTGCTCTCAATGCTTAGGTTTCAGAGATATAAGCCAAAATCTACATTTTACCCCTATGTTCTATTTTTAGCCATGGCGGCCATCTTGGTTGGTTGGCCGGGTCACCGGACACATTTCTTAAACTAGATACCCTAAGGATGATTGTGGCCAAGTTTGGTTAAATTTGGCCCAGTAGTTTCAGAGGAGAAGATTTTTGTAAAAGTTTACGGATGACGGACGACGGACACGGGACGACCGATGCCAAGTGATGAGAAAAGCTCACTTGGCCCTTTGGGCCAGGTGAGCTAATAAAAAGTGCTCAACACATTATTTAACATGGATAACTTGTTTTATTCACGATAATCTTTAGCTGAGGCTACAGGTTCAGAAAAAGCCTCTTCCAACCACTGTCAATTTCCCAAAACCATGTTAAACTTTGTAGTGGAAACCATTTATTAAATCTTGACATTAATTGATGATTGATGGAAAAACAGAAGTATTTTGAACAACTAAAAACCAAAAAGCTGTATTGTAACAGTTTACAAGAACGTAAGAAATTATGAAAAATTGCAGATAAATACATTGTAGCTTGTTCACACTGTGACTTTAATGATGAAAAAAAGCATGTGTATTACACTCTAAAAGCGTGTGATTAAGTAACAATAGTATTTTTTATTACCATACATTGACAGATTTTATGAGTATATTCTCATAAGATAATGACACTATACCAACCTGCATTAGTATCTTCCAAATTCTATCTTCAGCAAAAAGTTCATTCTTATCCTTCAAATTGTTAAGGTGTTCCTCTAATGGAACACCATCTATCAACTCCATTACAATGTATAACTTCTGACCTGAAAAGATAGGTAATTAATTTAGTATTGAAAGCTAATGTAAATGATAATTCTTTTCAATTTTCAAATTTTACCTTTACACTATTTTGCTGTTTGACCAGTGTCCAATGTTATTTTGTAAAGCTAATTATAGTTCATAAGGTTCAAAACAAGGTGCCTGTTGCCCACTGGTTTTTTATTTTATCTACCTGTTAGCGCTTAACTGATATAAATGTAGATGATCTTTAAAAGATCAGCTAAGCGCTTGAGCGAGATATGACCAAATACCAAGATATCCATTTATGTAAACCTATCAGATAAGTGTAACATAGTGAATATATAAAATTTGGTCTCTGTAGGTCACTAAATTTTATTGTTGTTTAAGAAAGTTAAGAAAGTTTGGTGACCAGCAGATTTTGTTTAAGAAAGTAAAGAAAGTTTGGTGACCTGTAGATGTTCTTTGAAAGTATTTGGTGGCCTGTAGATGCTGTTCAAGAGTATTTGGTGACCTAAAGATGTTGTTTAAGAGTATTTGGTGACCTGTAGATATTGTTTTAGAGTATTTGGTGACCTGTTAATGTTGTTTAAGAGTATTTGGTGACATGTAGAAGTTGTTTAAGAGTATTTGGTGACCTGAATTCGAAGATGTTTAAAAGTATTTGGTGACCTGTAAATGTTGTTAAAATGTATTTGCTGACCTGAAGATGTTGTTTAAGAGTATTTGGTAACCTGTAGATGTTGTGACCAGTACATGTTGTTTAACAGTATTTGGTGACCTGAAGATGTTGTTTAAAAGTATTTGGTGACCTGTAAATGTTGTTTAAAAGTATTTGGTGACATGTAGATGTTGGTTAAGAGTATTTGGTGACATGTAGATGTTGGTTAAGAGTATTTGGTGACATGTAGATGTTGGTTAAGAGTATTTGGTGACATGTAGATGTTGGTTAAGAGTATTTGGTGACATGTAGATGTTGGTTAAGAGTATTTGGTGACATGTAGATTTTGTTGTAGAATGTTTTTGATGACCTGTAGATGAAGAGTTTTAGAATGTTTTTGATGACCTGTAGATGAAGAGTTTTAGACTGTTTTTGATGACCTGAAGATGAAGAGTTTTAGAATGTTTTAGATGACCTGTAGATGAAGAGTTTTAGAATGTTTTTGATGACCTTTAGATGAAGCATTTTAGAATGTTTTTGATGACCTGTAGATGAAATGTTTTAGAATGTTTTTGATGACCTGTACATGAAGAGTTTTGGAATGTTTTTGATGACCTGTAGATGAAGAGTTTTAGAATGTTTTAGATGACCTGTAGATGAAGAGTTTTAGAATGTTTTTTGATGACCTGTAGATGAAGAGTTTTAGAATGTTTTTGATGACCTGTAGAAGAAGAGTTTTAGAATGTTTTTTGATGACCTGTAGATGAAGAATTTTAGAATGTTTTTGGTGACCTGTAGATGAAGCGTTTTAGAATGTTTTTGATGACCTGTAGATGAAGCGTTTTAGACTGTTTTTGATGACCTGTAGATGAAGAGTTTTAGAATGTTTTTTGATGACCTGTAGATGAAGAGTTTTAGAATATTTATTGATGACCTGTAGATGAAGAGTTTTAGAATGTTTTTTGATGACCTGTAGAAGAAGCGTTTTAGAATGTTTTTGACGAACTGTAGATGAAGCGTTTTAGAATGTTTTTTGATGACCTGTAGATGAAGAGTTTTAGAATGTTTTTTGATGACCTGTAGAAGAAGCGTTTTAGAATGTTTTTGATGAACTGTAGATGAAGCGTTTTAGAATGTTTTTGATAACCTGTAGATGAAGCGTTTTAGAATGTTTTGATGACCTGTAGATGAAGAGTTTTAGAATGGTTTTTGATGACCTGTAGATGAAGAGTTTTAGAATGTTTTTGATGACCTGTAGATGAAGAGTTTTAGAATGTTATTTGATGACCTGTAGACGAAGCGTTTTAGAATGTTTTTGATGACCTGTAGATGAAGAGTTTTAGAATGTTTTTGATGACCTGTAGATGAAGAGTTTTAGAATGTTTATTGATGACCTGTAGATGAAGCATTTTAGAATGTTTTTGATGACTGTAGATGAAGCGTTTTAGAATGTTTTTGATGACCTGTAGATGAAGAGTTTTAGAATGTTTTTGATGACCTGTAGATGAAGAGTTTTAGAATGTTTTAGATGACCTGTAGATGAAGCGTTTTAGAATGTTTTTGGTGACCTGTAGATGAAGAGTTTTAGAATGTTTTTAATGACCTGTAGATGAAGAGTTTTAGAATATTTATTGATGACCTGTAGATGAAGCATTTTAGAATGTTTTTGATGACCTGTAGATGAAGCGTTTTACAATGTTTTTGATGACCTGTAGATGAAGTTTTAGAATGTTTTTGATGACCTGTAGATGAAGAGTTTTAGAATGTTTTAGATGACATGTAGATGAAGCATTTTAGAATGTTTCGGTGACCTGTAGATGTTATATTTTGTTTGATGACCTGTAGATGAAGAGTTTTAGAATGGTTTTTGCTGACCTGTAGATGAAGAGTTTTAGAATGTTTTTGATGACCTGTAGATGAAGAGTTTTAGAATGTTATTTGATGACCTGTAGACGAAGCGTTTTAGAATGTTTTTGATGACCTGTAGATGAAGAGTTTTAGAATGTTTTTGATGACCTGTAGATGAAGAGTTTTAGACTGTTTTTGATGACCTGAAGATGAAGAGTTTTAGAATGTTTTAGATGACCTGTAGATGAAGAGTTTTAGAATGTTTTTGATGACCTTTAGATGAAGCATTTTAGAATGTTTTTGATGACCTGTAGATGAAATGTTTTAGAATGTTTTTGATGACCTGTACATGAAGAGTTTTGGAATGTTTTTGATGACCTGTAGATGAAGAGTTTTAGAATGTTTTTGATGACCTGAAGATGAAGAGTTTTAGAATGTTTTTGATGACCTGTAGATGAAGAGTTTTAGACTGTTTTTGATGACCTGAAGATGAAGAGTTTTAGAATGTTTTAGATGACCTGTAGATGAAGAATTTTAGAATGTTTTTGGTGACCTGTAGATGAAGCGTTTTAGAATGTTTTTGATGACCTGTAGATGAAGCGTTTTAGACTGTTTTTGATGACCTGTAGATGAAGAGTTTTAGACTGTTTTTGATGACCTGAAGATGAAGAGTTTTAGAATGTTTTAGATGACCTGTAGATGAAGAGTTTTAGAATATTTATTGATGACCTGTAGATGAAGCATTTTAGAATGTTTTTGATGACCTGTAGATGAAGCGTTTTACAATGTTTTTGATGACCTGTAGATGAAGTTTTAGAATGTTTTTGATGACCTGTAGATGAAGAGTTTTAGAATGTTTTAGATGACATGTAGATGAAGCATTTTAGAATGTTTCGGTGACCTGTAGATGTTATATTTTGTTTGATGACCTGTAGATGAAGAGTTTTAGAATGGTTTTTGCTGACCTGTAGATGAAGAGTTTTAGAATGTTTTTGATGACCTGTAGATGAAGAGTTTTAGAATGTTATTTGATGACCTGTAGACGAAGCGTTTTAGAATGTTTTTGATGACCTGTAGATGAAGAGTTTTAGAATGTTTTTGATGACCTGTAGATGAAGAGTTTTAGACTGTTTTTGATGACCTGAAGATGAAGAGTTTTAGAATGTTTTAGATGACCTGTAGATGAAGAGTTTTAGAATGTTTTTGATGACCTTTAGATGAAGCATTTTAGAATGTTTTTGATGACCTGTAGATGAAATGTTTTAGAATGTTTTTGATGACCTGTACATGAAGAGTTTTGGAATGTTTTTGATGACCTGTAGATGAAGAGTTTTAGAATGTTTTTGATGACCTGAAGATGAAGAGTTTTAGAATGTTTTTGATGACCTGTAGATGAAGAGTTTTAGACTGTTTTTGATGACCTGAAGATGAAGAGTTTTAGAATGTTTTAGATGACCTGTAGATGAAGAATTTTAGAATGTTTTTGGTGACCTGTAGATTTTGTTGTAGAATGTTTTTGATGACCTGTAGATGAAGAGTTTTAGAATGTTTTTGATGACCTGTAGATGAAGAGTTTTAGACTGTTTTTGATGACCTGAAGATGAAGAGTTTTAGAATGTTTTAGATGACCTGTAGATGAAGAGTTTTAGAATGTTTTTGATGACCTTTAGATGAAGCATTTTAGAATGTTTTTGATGACCTGTAGATGAAATGTTTTAGAATGTTTTTGATGACCTGTACATGAAGAGTTTTGGAATGTTTTTGATGACCTGTAGATGAAGAGTTTTAGAATGTTTTAGATGACCTGTAGATGAAGAGTTTTAGAATGTTTTTTGATGACCTGTAGATGAAGAGTTTTAGAATGTTTTTGATGACCTGTAGAAGAAGAGTTTTAGAATGTTTTTTGATGACCTGTAGATGAAGAATTTTAGAATGTTTTTGGTGACCTGTAGATGAAGCGTTTTAGAATGTTTTTGATGACCTGTAGATGAAGCGTTTTAGACTGTTTTTGATGACCTGTAGATGAAGAGTTTTAGAATGTTTTTTGATGACCTGTAGATGAAGAGTTTTAGAATATTTATTGATGACCTGTAGATGAAGAGTTTTAGAATGTTTTTTGATGACCTGTAGAAGAAGCGTTTTAGAATGTTTTTGACGAACTGTAGATGAAGCGTTTTAGAATGTTTTTTGATGACCTGTAGATGAAGAGTTTTAGAATGTTTTTTGATGACCTGTAGAAGAAGCGTTTTAGAATGTTTTTGATGAACTGTAGATGAAGCGTTTTAGAATGTTTTTGATAACCTGTAGATGAAGCGTTTTAGAATGTTTTGATGACCTGTAGATGAAGAGTTTTAGAATGGTTTTTGATGACCTGTAGATGAAGAGTTTTAGAATGTTTTTGATGACCTGTAGATGAAGAGTTTTAGAATGTTATTTGATGACCTGTAGACGAAGCGTTTTAGAATGTTTTTGATGACCTGTAGATGAAGAGTTTTAGAATGTTTTTGATGACCTGTAGATGAAGAGTTTTAGAATGTTTATTGATGACCTGTAGATGAAGCATTTTAGAATGTTTTTGATGACTGTAGATGAAGCGTTTTAGAATGTTTTTGATGACCTGTAGATGAAGAGTTTTAGAATGTTTTTGATGACCTGTAGATGAAGAGTTTTAGAATGTTTTAGATGACCTGTAGATGAAGCGTTTTAGAATGTTTTTGGTGACCTGTAGATGAAGAGTTTTAGAATGTTTTTAATGACCTGTAGATGAAGAGTTTTAGAATATTTATTGATGACCTGTAGATGAAGCATTTTAGAATGTTTTTGATGACCTGTAGATGAAGCGTTTTACAATGTTTTTGATGACCTGTAGATGAAGTTTTAGAATGTTTTTGATGACCTGTAGATGAAGAGTTTTAGAATGTTTTAGATGACATGTAGATGAAGCATTTTAGAATGTTTCGGTGACCTGTAGATGTTATATTTTGTTTGATGACCTGTAGATGAAGAGTTTTAGAATGGTTTTTGCTGACCTGTAGATGAAGAGTTTTAGAATGTTTTTGATGACCTGTAGATGAAGAGTTTTAGAATGTTATTTGATGACCTGTAGACGAAGCGTTTTAGAATGTTTTTGATGACCTGTAGATGAAGAGTTTTAGAATGTTTTTGATGACCTGTAGATGAAGAGTTTTAGAACGTTTTTGATGACCTGTAGATGAAGCATTTTAGAATGTTTTTGATGACCTGTAGACGAAGCGTTTTAGAATGTTTTTGATGACCTGTAGATGAAGAGTTTTAGAACGTTTTTGATGACCTGTAGATGAAGCATTTTAGAATGTTTTTGATGACCTGTAGACGAAGCGTTTTAGAAAGTTTTTGATGACCTGTAGATGAAGAGTTTTAGAATGTTTTTGATGACCTGTAGATGAAGAGTTTTAGAATGTTTTAGATGACCTGTAGATGAAGAGTTTTAGAATGTTTTTGATGACCTTTAGATGAAGCATTTTAGAATGTTTTTGATGACCTGTAGATGAAATGTTTTAGAATGTTTTTGATGACCTGTACATGAAGAGTTTTGGAATGTTTTTGATGACCTGTAGATGAAGAGTTTTAAAATGTTTTAGATGACCTGTAGATGAAGAGTTTTAGAATGTTTTTTGATGACCTGTAGATGAAGAGTTTTAGAATGTTTTTGATGACCTGTAGAAGAAGAGTTTTAGAATGTTTTTTGATGACCTGTAGATGAAGAATTTTAGAATGTTTTTGGTGACCTGTAGATGAAGCGTTTTAGAATGTTTTTGATGACCTGTAGATGAAGCGTTTTAGACTGTTTTTGATGACCTGTAGATGAAGAGTTTTAGAATGTTTTTTGATGACCTGTAGAAGAAGCGTTTTAGAATGTTTTTGACGAACTGTAGATGAAGCGTTTTAGAATGTTTTTTGATGACCTGTAGATGAAGAGTTTTAGAATGTTTTTTGATGACCTGTAGAAGAAGCGTTTTAGAATGTTTTTGATGAACTGTAGATGAAGCGTTTTAGAATGTTTTTGATAACCTGTAGATGAAGCGTTTTAGAATGTTTTGATGACCTGTAGATGAAGAGTTTTAGAATGTTTTTGATGACCTGTAGATGAAGAGTTTTAGAATGTTTTTGATGACCTGTAGATGAAGAGTTTTAGAATGTTTTAGATGACCTGTAGATGAAGCGTTTTAGAATGTTTTGGTGACCTGTAGATAAAGCGTTTTAGAATGTTTTTGATGACCTGTAGATGAAGAGTTTTAGAATGTTTTTGATGACCTGTAGATGGAGTTTTAGAATGTTTTAGATGACCTGTAGATGAAGCGTTTTAGAATGTTTTAGATGACCTGTAGATGAAGCGTTTTAGAATGTTTTTGGTGACCTGTAGATGAAGCGTTTTAGAATGTTTCGGTGACCTGTAGATGTTATATTTTGTTTGATGACAAAATAGTCGCCTGTAGATCTTGTTAAAGACTATTTGTTGACACATAAATGTTACATTTTTTTCTTGTTGAGGACTGTATGCTTATCTTTAGACATGTATTGTGTGATTTTTTAGCCTTTGGTAATTAGATAGCTACATAACTTACTCTCCACAAAGGTCTTGAGGAACCTGACCACATTAGGATGTTTCATCTGCTCTTTAATGATAGCTATTTCATTCATAATTTCACCAACACTTTGGTCTCTCTCTAGACTGTTCTTACCAAATGATGGATTGTCAATATTGATCTATAATATACAGATGTAATAGATATTAAACATCTTAAAGTCAAATTTCAAGTGCAACTAATTACATTGTGTATGTACATATTGGCAAGAAATATTTCACCTCTTTTACAGTTAATAACTGTTGCCCTGCAGTCAGATATAAATAATTTCTTTGTGTAATACATATTGAGAAGAAATGTTTAACATCTTTTAAAGCTAAGAACTGTTGCCATCTAGCCAGATATAAATAATTTCTTTGTGTTTATACATATTGAGGAGAAATGATTTACCTCTTTTAAAGCTAAGAACTGTTGCCCTGCCGCTTGTTTTTTTACTTTGAACACAGAACCAAATGCTCCTGACCCCAACAGTTCAAACACAGCATAATCCCCAATGTAGCGATTTGGTGTCCTATTATGGTTCGTTTCCATTATATTTGTCTTTATATCTTCAACAATGTCAGCCTGAAACAGAATTTATCTTGTTGGTAAATTATATCTTGTAATATTCTATAATACAGAAGGCATCCTGTTAAAAAATAAAGTTTGTTTTACACTAAATTCAAAACTTTCATTTTAGAAAAGATTGTGGTTTTCTTAATGTCCAATGACAAATATTTCAATCATATTCATAACAAGTTTACATCACAGAAAAATTCATGATGTTTTCAACAAACTTAACATTACCCAGAAAACCAGTTTTGTATAGCTCATATATATTTATTTACAAAAGGACAGAAAATAAGGAAAAAGGGTAACAGCTTACTGGATTAATGATTTTCTACAAAACAGTTAACAGGTCTTTGATGTAGTGCATATCACTAAGTTTAACATGTTACATATAAACTGTAAAAAAAGGGAGAAACTTACCCGATAACTGTTGATTTTCTCTACCAGAGATTTATAAGCTGACAGATCTTTTATATAATGTCCAACACTTATAAACATATCAAATAAATCAGGAGGGAAAAGTCTTTTAAACAAACGTCTATTCCTCTCCATACTGAATGTGAATCTCAATGCTCGGAATGCATTTCTCTGAAGATTTTTGGCCCATTTTCTCTCTTTTCCAACACATTGTTTACACGGTGGAAGAATAAGCAGTCCAAGGTAGTATAAGCCGTTAGCCAGTATTATATGTTGACCGTTAGCATCATTCAAGACTAGTTCCATTAACGCTGCACAACTGGCAGATTTTAATGAATACTGTATCTCCATCAACTCTTCTGACTGTAAATAAATGGCATTATTATTTCATACTGTTACCATGGTTACTTAGGACTGTAAATAAATGTCATTATTACATGGGTTGCAAAGAAATACCCTAATTTCACAGTTAATTAAATGCTCATAGTTTCAAATGTGAAATAAGTCTGCAAATTTCCCTCCTCTTACATGAGGTGTATGTTCAAGACATTATTGACGACCTGGCATCAAAATAAATTAAGAATTTCAGAGAAAAAGTATAGTTTTTTGCATTTTCTACTTTATTTCTCTTACAAAGTCCATATTCAAAGTAGCCATAGGCTCTAAAAAGTCTTTTTTGCTCACCTAGGTCTATTTGCATCTTCAACAATGGATATACTCCAACATTGTAGACTAAAATAGATCAAGTGAGCCAAAACAAGCTTTATTAAGGTTATTCTTATGGGGATTATTGACTTGTAAATTTGACCTTTTACTCACAAAATTCTTGTGACTTTATTCAGTTTTCGAGTGAGCTGGCCAAGTTTTAACAGCAATAAACTCTTGGAAATAACTTTTTACTATAATGAAACAAATACGATACAAATGGCATAACAAATTGCAGCAAAAAAATAATCTTATCAACTCTTGAGAGGATGAGCACACATCTATCTATAGTAAAACCACTGCAAGTTTTAAAAAAAAAAAGCCACTTTCTGTAAGGTTGATTTGAATAAGTGTGATCTCCTGTTATGAGAAAACTTATAACATCTGACCTCCCAAGTCCCAACTCAAGCAGTGGAGAGAACTGAATAACGCATGTATATAAAGCGAGAAATGTATTACAACATTTCAGGTAGTTAACTTTCATTTGTGATTTGTCTCTCTCTCTCTCTCTCTCTCTCTGCATATTACTGAATGATGTAACTCTCTCTCTGTGTATATAAATGAATGATCTCTCTTTCTCTCTATCTCAAAATAATTTGTGCATATAACCATGATAACTGAATGATGTCTCTCTCTCTCCCTCTTTTGGAAAGATGATTTGTGGTTTTATGAACACAGCACACAATGTATTTCCCTGACAAATATAAAACTTACATTATATTTTAACTGCCTATTTCAATAGGGATTATCGGAATAACCAAATGTTTAATTTGATTATCAATGATTATTAAAGCCTACACAGAATTTCTACTGTATCCCAGTTTAGCAGAATAGATCCAGTTTGTCAGAATACTTTTGTACTTGTTTTTAATGCTGTTGACATAAATATCATCAAGTTTTTATGTATGTAAAACTGTTTTGTGCAATGGGTAGGAAAACAACCGTAATAACATTAAATTTTAAGTTTTGATTATTATTTATAAGTACAGGAAGATTTTGATGGGTTTAATCAATTAAGACTGTTGAGTTTGTGAGCTTCTTTATCATTGTACAACTTATCAAATTATCAAAAGAAGGGATTCATAAAGGGAAAGTTATAGCCTTAAAAATCACAAATTGGGAAAAATAACCCCAAGGATTACTGGCTAGATAAATATTGGACCAGAAAATAAAATAAAATGCTCCGCAGGGCGCAGCTTGATACGACCGCAGAGGTCGAACCCTGAACAGTTGGGGCAAGTATGGACACAACATTCAAGCTTGATACAGCTCTGAATTTGGATTGTGATTAAATATTTGACACAGCATAGGTTTCTGACACAGAATGAATGTGGTCTAAGAACTTAAAAATTTTAAATTGGACATTCACCTATTATGGTCCAATATCCAAAATCTAAATACATGGCTAGATTCAGCATATCAAAGAACCCCAAGAATTCAATTTTTGATGAAATCAAACAAAGTTTAATTTTGGACCCTTTTAACCTCAATGTGGACAAAGTTGATAACGGGTCCCAAAAATCAAAAATCTAAATACATGGTTAGATTCAGCATATCAAAGAACCCCATATATTCAATTTTTGTTGAAATCAAACAAAGTTAAATTTTGGACCCCGATTTGGACCAACAATGAAAACTGGGCCCATAATCAAAAATCTAAATACATGTTTAGATTCAGCATATCAAAGAACCCAATGAATTCAATTTTTGTTAAAATCAAACTAAGTTTAATTTTGGACCCTTTGGACCTTAATGTAGACCAATTTGAAAACGGAACCAAAAATTAAGAATCTAAATACACGGTTAGATTCGGCATATCAAAGAACCCCAATAATTCAATTTTTGATAAAATCAAACAAAGTTTAATTTTGGACCCTTTGGACAATGTTGGACCTCAATGTAGACCAATTTAAAAACGGGGCCCAAAATCCAAAAACTTAATACACGGTTAGATTCAGCATATTAAAGAACCCCAAGAATTCAAGAATAAAACCCCATTGAAATTGGTCAAGAAATAAGCAATTTTTACGAAGTATCTTCTTTTGCACAATACTGTGCAATTGAATATTTCTTGCTATTGCGCAATACTGTACAATTGACAATTTCTTGCTATTGTGCAATATTGTGCTATTGGATATTTCTTGCTATTGTGCAATACTGTGCAATTGAAGATTTCTTGCTATTGCGCAATACTGTGCAATTGAAGATTTCTTGCTATTGCACAATACTTATTATATAATAATTTACACATCCTGTTTGGTGTGTATCTCCTACCATATCATTATTATTTGCTTTTAAATATAAATCAGAAATAACCAACTTAAAATGGAAAATTTTAAAAGAAAAAAAAAAAGGGAAAAAAGAAATAAAAGGAAAAAAAAAAATCCCCCCCCCAAATTTTTTGAACCCCCTTATGATTCATCACCCCCAAACTCAATCCCAAACCTTCCCTTTGTGGTATGGTACCTTGCAGTACAATTTCAGAGAGAGATCCATACACTTGAACACAAGTTATTGTCTGGAAACTAGAAAAATGTGTTTTTTGGCCCCCAATTCCTAAACGTTTCAGGCAATTACCCCCAAACTCAGTTCCAGCTTTCCCTTTGTGATATGGAACCTTGTAGTACAATTTCAGAAATATCCAAACACTTACACACAAGTTATTGTCATGAAACTAGAAAAATGCTTGTTTTTTGGCCCTTTTTTGGCCCCTTATTCCTAAAATTTGAGGCAATTACCCCCAAAATCAATTCCAACCTTCCCTTTGTGATATGGAACCTTGTGGTACAATGTCAGAGAGATCCATACACTTACACACAAGTTATTGTCTGGAAGTTACAAAAATGCTTATTTTTGGCCCCTTTTTCCTTAACTGTTGGTACTATAACCCCCAAAATCAATCCCAACCTTCCTTTTGTGGTATTGAACCTTATGGTAAAATTTCATAGAGATCCATTCACTTAAACTAAAGTTATAGTGCGAAAACTAATGTGTCTTCAGACGACGACGACGACAACGACTCCAACGTCATACCAATATACAACCGCAAAATTTTTGCGGTCGTATAAAAAATTAGAACCGTGTCTGTTAGCATTATGAACATAAAATATTAGTAAATAAATGGAGAATATGTCCATGGGATATAGATGATGCCCCTGCTTGCATATAACGTTATAAAGGAGCATAACTTGGAACGGTAAAAGTGACACCACTCAAATTTGATCTGTATTTTGTGGCAATAACCATTGTGTATAAGTTGGTTGAGGCAAACTAAAGTTACAGAAGGAAACCAATTTTGGGACGTACAGACTGACAAGGGTAACACTTATAAAAGTGACAGAATTGTCTCCCCTTCTTATCAGAAACTGAATGATGTCTTCTCCCTACAGGGCTAAAAAGGATTATAACTGTAAATGTAATCTGAATATCTTAAAAGTGATCATTAACTGTGACATGATAGGTTCACAACAGGGAGTGCCATGATAATGATGATACACACAGCACACACCAATTACCTTCGACATTCCTCGAGGTTTTGTAAATATTGTCTCCCATATAGCCTAGTATTCAAATAAAAGAGGTTTCATAAATTTTTTTTTATTTGACACTTATTTTCATATTTTTATACTTTTATCCTTATCTTGAAAACATGATTAGCTTAATGTAACAAATAAGATATAAAAAGTAAAATCACAAAAATACCAAACTCCGAGGAAAATTCAAAACGGAATATCCCTAATCGAATGGCAAAATCAAAAGCTCGAACACATCAAACGAATGGATAACAACTGTCATATTCCTAACTTGGTACAGGCATTTTCTGATGTAGAAAATGGTGAATTAAACCTGGATTCATAGCTAGCTAAACCTCTCACTTGTATGACAGTCGCATAAAATTCCATTATATTGACAATGATGTGTGAACAAAACAAACAGACATAATAAGTAAAAATGTCAAAATAGGGTTACAACAGTCAACATTGTGTTATAATCTTAATCACTATAAAAACAAACAAATATGTAGCAAAGAAACACAAAAAGGCATACAGACAAAGCACATAAGCAAAAATGAAAGACAAGAATACAAAAATTTTACCCTAGCACAATAACACAATGATGGGATGTACAAGTACCGAGCCACGTCAAATTAATAACACCAAAAAAAGACTAAACAGTTAAAGTAATATTCAAAAAGACAAATAAAAAAAAGACTATAACACGTTATTAAGATGATAAACAACGTCAGTACCCAAAATCTATACTTCAAGACCATCGTGTATTATTTGTGAAGTTGATACGGAATATTTATCAACAAGGATGATGAACCTTTTTAGAAAAAGGACGAGACGTTCCCTGACATACCCCCGGTTCATCAACTTTCTGCTCAAACACGGGTGACGTTTTACAAAGTCTGAGTAGCAGCCGCAAGCTCTTGAATACTGAACAAGTTGGGAAATATATATCCCATATGCAGCTGAAGTTGGTATATTGCTACTAAGGTGGGGGAAATTTATAATTTCAAAATTAAAATCGTCTCGTTTGTCATAGATTCTGGTACTGAGATGACGTGTATGTCAAATTCGAGGTATAAGTCTTAAAATGAGGCGGAGGAAGCCGTGTCAGTTGTTTCTTTAATTTCTAGTTCTGGGGGATATATTAATGGAACCCAATCAGAAAAGTTTGGATTGTTAATGGAAAGAACATCATCAATATATCTGAATGAGGAATTAAATGACCTGGCTTCTTTGATCTTCTTGTTTTTGACAAGTGTCTGAAGGAACTCCGACTCATATGAAAATAAGAGGTCGGCAAGGAGAGGCGCACAGTTCATTCCCATAGGAATGCCGACAATTTGGTGAAAAAGTCTACCTCCAAATTCAACAAATATGTTGTCAATTAGAAACTCCAGCATATTGATCACTTGTTCCTCTGTGTAGCATGTTTTACCTTTTTGTTCACTATTAACAAAATATGCCGTATGGTATCCCAAAGTAATAAATCTATTAAAAAATAATGAAATAGAATATCAAAATTACCATGAGGACCCATAAAGTTTTAATCAGAAGTTCAACAAACAACATTCCTTCATGGTTCTCCATTACCTAGTTCAAAGTAACAATAACCATCACTTCACATGGGCCAAAACATACTGTTGACATTATTTAATAACCAACAAAGCTAGTTAATTACTGTTTCCCTTCTCCCACTTATCAACACAATCCTTGTTCTACTTACATCATCAACAACAGGTGTCCTCCCGTGAGCTCCAGCACTAGCTGGTCCTTCACTGTTCTCCATTCTCTCTGTTACAAAAGTTCTATCACTGAAATGAAATAACACATAAATAACAAACTTATGTGCTGTATAGAGATCTATTACATATCATCAATAAACAAGACATAGACATCTAAAGAGGACCAAGTTAATCAGCGTTTCAATATAGTTTTTCTTTCCAGCTACTTTTTTTGTTAAAATTTTAAACTTCTAACTCTTTTGTCCAAAGTTCAAGTTTCTATAAATATACAATCTGTTTTCTGCTCTATGGTGGGGTTGTTGTCTCTTTGACACATTCCCTGTTTCCATTCTATATTCTAATAACTTCAAAATTCTATATATTTGAGGACCATGTAATATTTATATAACTATCATTATTTTTTTTCCAACTTACTGCAAAAGAGAAAGTAGAAGAGGAATGCCTCCAATCTGTCTTATTTCTTTGCTGGCAACAGGATCTTCACAAAGTTGAGCTAAGCACCAAACGACATGCCATAATAAGTTAACATTGTCACTGTGTAGCTGACTGAAACACATAATATAGTACTAATCATTATACATGGATGGAGGGAGGTGCAGGGTATAGATCATAAACACAAGAGACATTCAGAAGTCAACAAATGGTCTTCCAAAACAAATGAACATAAAATTTGCAAATAAGTTTATTAGGCAAAAAAAAAAAAAAAAAGATTTAAAGGACAATTCAGATACTTACTCGCTTTATAAACAACATTAAATAGAATTGAAGGATGTGAAATACTATGTTCTGTTACATTTACTTTGCTGATACTTTTTTCATGTTTGTACAAAAAATTTGTGTGTGAATCACTGGGGATAGTTGACCATAAAAGACTTTGACTATTTTCAATAGTGATATCTCAGCTAAATAGCTTCTCATTTTTTCATACAGGATTCACCTTTTACTTTTCTGATGAAGTTTAATCAACAAATCTAGCATGATTGACCTTGCCTAATGACAAAGATTAAATGATACACAGGTAACAATAATTATTTTACATTTTGTGTATGTAATTTACCTGAGTAAAATAGGAATCCCATCATGTATCATAACACTATCTCGTGACAGAGTATCTTGACACATAAACTGCAACAGCTTAGCTGCCAATCTAACGAAATAAAAAATGAAAAGTGAAAAGAATGATAAGAAGATTTTTTTAATAGAATAGAAAGGAAAGATTGAATATCATTAAGATATAAATAATAGCAAACATACATGATACTTGATCTGTAAACAAATGTAGAAAAATATAAGCCATTCTGGCACAAATGACATCATATTAAAGAGCATCTTTAAATGGTTTCTGAGCCTAAACATCAAATATGTGTCTTTCTCAAAAGCAATAATACTATGCTTAATGTCTACCAATGTCTAGGCAGTAGATCATCATCACAGGGCAGCACTAATTATTACAACACTGAATAGTGTGCTTATCATCAAAGGTTTGAGCACTGCAGTCTGTTCAACTGGTACCAAATATTCCTCATTATCTAGTTACAGACAGATTCTTTATTACTCTGTCATTCCTTATTTTCCCAAGCCTTATAAAAACATTACTAATACTGTCTTAAATCTACTCCAACTTACTTTCTGTCATTCCTTATTCTCCCAAGCCTTATAAAAACATTACTAATACTGTCTTATTTCTACTCCAACTTATTTTATGTCAATCCTTATTCTCCCAAGCCTTATAAATACATTACTAATACTGTCTTAGTTCTACTCCAACTTACTTTCTGTCATTCCTTATTCTCCCAAGCCTTATAAAAACATTACTAATACTGTCTTAGTTCTACTCCAACTTACTTTCTGTCATTCCTTATTCTCCCAAGCCTTATAAATACATAACTAATACTGTCTTAGTTCTACTCCAACTTACTTTCTGTCATTCCTTATTCTCCCAAGCCTTATAAATAGATGACTAATACTGTCTTAGTTCTACTCCAACTTACTTTCTGTCATTCCTTATTTTCCCAAGCCTTATAAATACATTACTAATACTGTCTTAGTTCTACTCCAACTTACTTTCTGTCATTCCTTATTTTCCCAAGCCTTATAAATACATTACTAATACTGTCTTAGTTCTACTCCAACTTACTTTCTGTCATTCCTTATTTTCCCAAGCCTTATAAATACATTACTAATACTGTCTTAGTTCTACTCCAACTTACTTTCTGTCATTCCTTATTTTCCCAAGCCTTATAAATACATTACTAATACTGTCTTAGTTCTACTCCAACTTACTTTCTGTCAATCCTTATTCTCCTAAGCCTTATAAATACATTACTAATACTGTCTTAGTTCTACTCCAACTTACTTTCTGTCATTCCTTATTCTCCCAAGCCTTATAAATACATTACTAATACTGTCTTAGTTCTACTCCAACTTACTTTCTGTCATTCCTTATTCTCCCAAGCCTTATAAATACATTACTAATACTGTCTTATTTCTACTCCAACTTACTTTCTGTCATTCCTTATTCTCCCAAGCCTTATAAATACATTACTAATACTGTCTTTCTGTCATTCCTTATTCTCCCAAGCCTTATAAATACATTACTAATACTGTCTTATTTCTACTCCAACTTACTTTCTGTCATTCCTTATTCTCCCAAGCCTTATAGATACATTACTAATACTGTCTTAGTTCTACTCCAACTTACTTTCTGTCATTCCTTATTCTCCCAAGCCTTATAAATACATTACTAATACTGTCTTATTTCTACTCCAACTTACTTTCTGTCATTCCTTATTCTCCCAAGCCTTATAGATACATTACTAATACTGTCTTAGTTCTACTCCAACTTACTTTCTGTCATTCCTTATTCTCCCAAGCCTTATAAATACATTACTAATACTGTCTTATTTCTACTCCAACTTACTTTCTGTCATTCCTTATTCTCCCAAGCCTTATAAATACATTACTAATACTGTCTTTCTGTCATTCCTTATTCTCCCAAGCCTTATAAATACATTACTAATACTGTCTTATTTCTACTCCAACTTACTTTCTGTCATTCCTTATTCTCCCAAGCCTTATAAATACATTACTAATACTGTCTTATTTCTACTCCAACTTACTTTCTGTCATTCCCTATTCTCCCAAGCCTTATAGATACATTACTAATACTGTTTTAGTTCTACTCCAACTTACTTTCTGTCATTCCTTATTTTCCCAAGCCTTATAAATACATTACTAATACTGTCTTAAATCTACTCCAACTTACTTTCTGTCATTCCTTATTCTCCCAAGCCTTATAAATACATTACTAATACTGTTTTAGTTCTACTCCAACTTACTTTCTGTCATTCCTTATTCTCCCAAGCCTTATAAATACATTACTAATACTGTCTTAGTTCTACTCCAACTTACTTTCTGTCATTCCTTATTTTCCCAAGCCTTATAAATACATTACTAATACTGTCTTATTTCTACTCCAACTTACTTTCTGTCATTCCTTATTCTCCCAAGCCTTATAGATACATTACTAATACTGTTTTAGTTCTACTCCAACTTACTTTCTGTCATTCCTTATTCTCCTAAGCCTTATAAATACATTACTAATACTGTCTTAGTTCTACTCCAACTTACTTTCTGTCATTCCTTATTCTCCCAAGCCTTATAAATACATTACTAATACCGTCTTAGTTCTACTCCAACTTACTTTCTGTCATTCCTTATTCTCCCAAGCCTTATAAATACATTACTAATACCGTCTTAGTTCTACTCCAACTTACTTTCTGTCATTCCTTATTCTCCCAAGCCTTATAAATACATTACTAATACTGTCTTTGTTCTACTCCAACTTACTTTCTGTCATTCCTTATTCTCCCAAGCCTTATAAATACATTACTAATACTGTCTTAGTTCTACTCCAACTTACTTTCTGTCATTCCTTATTCTCCCAAGCCTTATAAATACATTACTAATACTGTCTTTGTTCTACTCCAACTTACTTTCTGTCATTCCTTATTCTCCCAAGCCTTATAAATACATTACTAATACTGTCTTAGTTCTACTCCAGCTTACTTTATGTCATTCCTTATTCTCCCAAGCCTTATAAAAACATTACTAATACTGTCTTAGTTCTACTCCAACTTACTTTCTGTCATTCCTTATTCTCCCAAGCCTTATAAATACATTACTAATACTGTCTTAGTTCTACTCCAACTTACTTTCTGTCATTCCTTATTCTCCCAAGCCTTATAAAAACATTACTAATACTGTCTTAGTTCTACTCCAACTTACTTTCTGTCATTCCTTATTCTCCCAAGCCTTATAAATACATTACTAATACTGTCTTAGTTCTACTCCAACTTACTTTCTGTCATTCCTTATTCTCCTAAGCCTTATAAATACATTACTAATACTGTCTTAAATCTACTCCAACTTACTTTCTGTCATTCCTTATTCTCCCAAGCCTTATAAATACATTACTAATACTGTCTCAGTTCTACTCCAACTTACTTTCTGTCATTCCTTATTCTCCCAAGCCTTATAAATACATTACTAATACTGTCTTAAATCTACTCCAACTTACTTTCTGTCATTCCTTATTTTCCCAAGCCTTATAAATACATTACTAATACTGTCTCAGTTCTACTCCAACTTACTTTCTGTCATTCCTTATTCTCCCAAGCCTTATAAAAACATTACTAATACTGTCTTAGTTCTACTCCAACTTACTTTCTGTCATTCCTTATTCTCCCAAGCCTTATAAATACATTACTAATACTGTCTCAGTTCTACTCCAACTTACTTTCTGTCATTCCTTATTCTCCCAAGCCTTATAAATACATTACTAATACTGTCTTAGTTCTACTCCAACTTACTTTCTGTCATTCCTTATTCTCCCAAGCCTTATAAAAACATTACTAATACTGTCTTAGTTCTACTCCAACTTACTTTCTGTCATTCCTTATTCTCCCAAGCCTTATAGATACATTACTAATACTGTCTTAGTTCTACTCCAACTTACTTTCTGTCATTCCTTATTTTCCCAAGCCTTATAAATACATTACTAATACCGTCTTAGTTCTACTCCAACTTACTTTCTGTCATTCCTTATTCTCCCAAGCCTTATAAATACATTACTAATACTGTCTTAGTTCTACTCCAACTTACTTTCTGTCATTCCTTATTCTCCCAAGCCTTATAAATACATTACTAATACTGTCTTAAATCTACTCCAACTTACTTTCTGTCATTCCTTATTCTCCCAAGCCTTATAAATACATTACTAATACTGTCTTAGTTCTACTCCAACTTACTTTCTGTCATTCCTTATTCTCCCAAGCCTTATAAATACATTACTAATACTGTCTTAGTTCTACTCCAACTTACTTTCTGTCAATCCTTATTCTCCCAAGCCTTATAAATACATTACTAATACTGTCTTAGTTCTACTGCAACTTACTTTCTGTCATTCCCTATTCTCCTAAGCCTTATAAATACATTACTAATACTGTCTTAGTTCTACTCCAACTTACTTTCTGTCATTCCTTATTCTCCCAAGCCTTATAAATACATTACTAATACTGTCTCAGTTCTACTCCAACTTACTTTCTGTCATTCCTTATTCTCCCAAGCCTTATAGATACATTACTAGTACTGTCTTAGTTCTACTCCAACTTACTTTCTGTCATTCCTTATTCTCCCAAACCTTATAAAAACATTACTAATACTGTCTTAGTTCTACTCCAACTTACTTTCTGTCATTCCTTATTCTCCCAAGCCTTATAAAAACATTACTAATACTGTCTTAGTTCTACTCCAACTTACTTTCTGTCATTCCTTATTCTCCCAAGCCTTATAGATACATTACTAATACTGTCTTAGTTCTACTCCAACTTACTTTCTGTCATTCCTTATTCTCCCAAGCCTTATAAATACATTACTATTACTGTCTTAGTTCTACTCCAACTTACTTTCTGTCATTCCTTATTCTCCCAAGCCTTATAAATACATTACTAATACTGTCTTAGTTCTACTCCAACTTACTTTCTGTCATTCCTTATTCTCCCAAGCCTTATAGATACATTACTAATACTGTCTTAGTTCTACTCCAACTTACTTTCTGTCATTCCTTATTCTCCCAAGCCTTATAAATACATTACTAATACTGTCTTAGTTCTACTCCAACTTACTTTCTGTCATTCCTTATTCTCCCAAGCCTTATAAATACATTACTATCTTAGTTCTACTCCAACTTACTTTCTGTCATTCCTTATTCTCCTAAGCCTTATAAAAACATTACTAATACTGTCTTAGTTCTACTCCAACTTACTTTCTGTCATTCCTTATTCTCCCAAGCCTTATAAATACATTACTAATACTGTCTTAGTTCTACTCCAACTTACTTTCTGTCATTCCTTATTCTCCCAAGCCTTATAAATACATTACTAATACTGTCTTATTTCTACTCCAACTTACTTTCTGTCATTCCTTATTCTCCCAAGCCTTATAAATACATTACTAATACTGTCTTATTTCTACTCCAACTTACTTTCTGTCATTCCTTATTCTCCCAAGCCTTATAAATACATTACTAATACTGTCTCAGTTCTACTCCAACTTACTTTCTGTCATTCCTTATTCTCCCAAGCCTTATAAATACATTACTAATACTGTCTCAGTTCTACTCCAACTTACTTTCTGTCATTCCTTATTCTCCCAAGCCTTATAAATACATTACTAATACTGTCTTAAATCTACTCCAACTTACTTTCTGTCATTCCTTATTCTCCCAAGCCTTATAAATACATTACTAATACTGTCTTAGTTCTACTCCAACTTACTTTCTGTCATTCCTTATTCTCCCAAGCCTTATAAATACATTACTAATACTGTCTTAAATCTACTCCAACTTACTTTCTGTCATTCCTTATTCTCCCAAGCCTTATAGATACATTACTAATACTGTCTTAAATCTACTCCAACTTACTTTCTGTCAATCCTTATTCTCCCAAGCCTTATAAAAACATTACTAATACTGTCTTATTTCTACTCCAACTTACTTTCTGTCATTCCTTATTCTCCCAAGCCTTATAAAAACATTACTAATACTGTCTTATTTCTACTCCAACTTACTTTCTGTCATTCCTTATTCTCCCAAGCCTTATAGATACATTACTAATACTGTCTTATTTCTACTCCAACTTACTTTCTGTCATTCCTTATTCTCCCAAGCCTTATAGATACATTACTAATACTGTCTTATTTCTACTCCAACTTACTTTCTGTCATTCCTTATTCTCCCAAGCCTTATAGATACATTACTAATACTGTCTTAGTTCTACTCCAACTTACTTTCTGTCATTCCTTATTCTCCCAAGCCTTATAGATACATTACTAATACTGTCTTATTTCTACTCCAACTTACTTTCTGTCATTCCCTATTCTCCCAAGCCTTATAAAAACATTACTAATACTGTCTTATTTCTACTCCAACTTACTTTCTGTCATTCCCTATTCTCCCAAGCCTTATAAAAACATTACTAATACTGTCTTAGTTCTACTCCAACTTACTTTCTGTCATTCCTTATTCTCCCAAGCCTTATAGATACATTACTAATACTGTCTTAGTTCTACTCCAACTTACTTTCTGTCATTCCCTATTCTCCCAAGCCTTATAAATACATTACTAATACTGTCTTAGTTCTACTCCAACTTACTTTCTGTCATTCCTTATTCTCCCAAGCCTTATAGATACATTACTAATACTGTCTTAGTTCTACTCCAACTTACTTTCTGTCATTCCTTATTCTCCCAAGCCTTATAAATACATTACTAATACTGTCTTAGTTCTACTCCAACTTACTTTCTGTCATTCCCTATTCTCCCAAGCCTTATAAATACATTACTAATACTGTCTTAGTTCTACTCCAACTTACTTTCTGTCATTCCTTATTCTCCCAAGCCTTATAGATACATTACTAATACTGTCTTATTTCTACTCCAACTTACTTTCTGTCATTCCTTATTCTCCCAAGCCTTATAAAAACATTACTAATACTGTCTTATTTCTACTCCAACTTACTTTCTGTCATTCCTTATTCTCCCAAGCCTTATAGAAACATTACTAATACTGTCTTATTTCTACTCCAACTTACTTTCTGTCATTCCTTATTCTCCCAAGCCTTATAAATACATTACTAATACTGTCTTAGTTCTACTCCAACTTACTTTCTGTCATTCCTTATTCTCCCAAGCCTTATAAATACATTACTAATACTGTCTTAGTTCTACTCCAACTTACTTTTTGGACAAGTTATCATACTCTTGTACTATTATCAACAATATTTCTATACAGTTCAGCATTCCTATTTCTTGCCTTGGTTTTGAGCTGAAATTATGAAAAACAATAGTAATTATTTATTTTTCATAAATATTCATGATTCATGTTAAAATATAGATCATTCTGTAAGAATAATAAAATATATGTCATAACTGTATAATTTTCTTTGTTCATAAAATTGACAAAAACTTATCCAACTTTTCTGCTGGAGGTACACATTGTTGTTTTAATATTAAATGATATGAGACAGACGCTACCTTATAAGCACCCAAAGGTTAGTGGTACATGTTAAATAATATGAGACAGACGCTACCTTATAAGCACCCAAAGGTTAGTGGTACATGTTAAATAATATGAGACAGACGCTACCTTATAAGCACCCAAAGGTTAGTGGTACATGTTCGTTTTATTTATCATCATACTTTTCAGTAATCTGCATAAAATTGTTAATATCTAGAAGAGCATAAGGAAAAATAAATAGAATAACCCCTCCCCCTTCTTCGTAAATAAAAACAAATAATTGTCTATTCAGTCCCCTATCTGTGTTCTGAAAGTATAAAAAGTATTACCTTTGAGCCAATCCAATCAATGCATACAATGAGCAATGTAGAACTATAACATCACTGGCATGGAGCAGTAAAACTAAGGACTGAAATTAAAACATTTCAAATATCATGTCTGTTAATGCAGTACCAAAGTATTTTATCCAATATAATAAGATTCAGCAAATCAGTGCATAACAAAAAGAGTAGTAAATGGAATTTCAAGTTTTTATTTAAAATATTACCCAATATTCACTGTAATTCACTCAACGAGGTAGTAAATGCATCATTCTTATAAACAGTTTTATTTTGTTTTGATGTATAAATACAACCTCATACTAATTTTTCGTAATAAATAAGTATACTTGAAAACTCTTAAACGGCATAAGAATTTTGTTTACTATGACAGTTAAATTATTGTTTACTACAACACTTACATTGTGTGCTTCATATTCTATTAACCATTCTCTCTGTTCTCCAATGGCAGATATCTTCTGAATAATGTCTGTAAATAACGTTCAAATTAAGAACTACATAGATTTATAACCATTTTAGAGGAGTACTACTTTTGGAGAGTACAAAGTGTCCCATGATGGATCATTCATTTAGGTACAATGTTAATTTAGAAAAATAATCATGCTACTTTGCTACAGATTAAAACAAGAATATGTGTTCATTGGACACCATGCCCTGCTCCGGCTATCACATTTATTATACTTTTAAAAAGACTTAATGTGTAGCTGTGTTTCCGATCACATAGATTTATATCCATTCTAAAGGAGTTCTACTTTTGGAGAGTAAGTGTACAAAGTGTCCCATGTTGGAACATCCTAGTGGGTATACGTACAATGGTAATTTGGAAGGATAATCATGCTAAAATTGAGAATGGAAATGGGGAATATGTCAAAGAGACAACAACCCGTCCAAAGAGCAGAAAACAGCCGAAGGCCACCAATGGGTCTTCAACACAGCGCGAAAATCACGCACCTGGAGGTGGGCTTCAGCATGAATGTGCCTGTCCCAAGTCAGGAGCCTGTAATTCAGTGGTTGTCATTTGTTGCTGTGTTACATATTTGTTTTATGTTCATATTTTTGTACATTAATTAAGCCGTTAGTTTTCTCTTTTTGAATTGTTTTACATTTGTCATTTCGGGCCTTTTATAGCTGACTATGAGGTGTGGGCTTTGCTCATTGTTGAAGGCCATACAGTGACCTATAGTTGTTAACTTCTATGTCATTTGGTCTCTTGTGAAGAGTTGTCTCATTGGCAATCATATACCACATCTTCTTTTTTATATTCTTTGTTACAAATTAAAACAAGAATATGTGTTCATTGGACACCATTCCCTGCTCAAGCTATCACATTTCGTATCAAAGAACCACAAATCTGGGTCAGAACCCTAATTTGGCAAATATATAAAGCTCACATCATAAAGAACAAGTGTAATAACTTGATGTCACAAAAAGGTCATAGTTAACTATATTGACAAACATTTTTGAACTCGATTAGAGATATTAAACTGGACACATAGATTGTTTAACATAATGCCCCTTGGATTAATGAATCAAATTAAAAATGTAATGTCTTTTATATTCTAATATATTATAAAAATAATGACTTCCAAAGAACACCATGCCAGACTCACACCATCACATCACATATGATTTAAAAAGTTTTATCACAAAGAACCTGTGTCCTAAGTTTCAAGCTAATGTGACCACAACTTCATAATCATGATGGTAAGCTACTAGAACAAACAAACTTTAATCTGATTTCACACCATCTCATTTCCATGAACAGTGAACAGTGAATTTAGGGTCAAAACCTTATTTTTATTAATAATTCAAAAAGTTCACCTTATAATGAACAACTGTATAAAGTTACAAGTTGATGTGATCACAACTTCATGGAAAATACCTTCACCAAAACCTCTTAGCTGATAGACTAACTGATGTATGTACAAACTTTGAACAAAAGGATGGAAGCATTGACCAGAAAACATTGTAGGCCAGGTATATATGATACTTACTTGACATTTCTTTAAGAATATCAACAATGTAGGGACTTTCTCCATATCTTAGGTAACTCTGAGTTGCCTTTTGGAAATGCTGCAACAGAAATGACCTTAATTGTTTCCTGAATTTGTATACATTTTTTCGAATTTTCTTAAGAAACATTCCAAATAAACAGAAAGATTGAAAATGCAGAATACTTTACCTTTAAAGAACACCTAAGTTTACTTCATTCAAAGAAGGATATATCCAGATATCACTATACATGTATACAAGGTAGGATATCCAGATATCACTTCACATGTTTTCAAGGGAGGATATCCAGATATCACTTCACATGTATTTAAGGTAGGATATCCAGATATCACTTCACTTGTATTCAAGATAGGATATCCAGATATCACTTCACTTGTATTCAAGGTAGGATATCCAGATATCACTATACATCTATTCAAGGTAGGATATATCCAGATGTCACTACACATGTATTCAATGTAGGATATCTGGATATCACTTCACATGTATTCAAGGTAGGATATATCCAGATATCACTATACATGCATTCAATGTAGGATATCCAGATATCACTATACATGTATTCAAGGTAGGATATCCAGATATCACTATACATCTATTCAAGGTATGATATCCAGATATCACTATACATCTATTCAAGGTAGGATATGTCCAGATATCAATTTACATGTATTCCAGGTAGGATATCCAGATATCACTTCACATGTATTCAAGGTAAAGATATCCAGATATTACTATACATGTATTCAAGGTAGGATATCCAGATATAACTACATTTTGAATTTCCTGATAAACTAGCTATTCATACAATGGACATCAGGCTTGCTCCTTGAGTGTGTAATGTCCTCTATTTCCCGTTCATTGTTCACCTTTTAAACACAGATGAAACCATATCTTTCAGTAGTTATATTATAGTCTTATATTATTTATAATTTGTAGTTGGCTCTGTACACTAATGTTCATTTCTTGTAGACCATATAATTGACACAACTTTTTGTGTATGTAACATCTAAATCCAATAATAAATTGAGACCATTTAATTGATGAGACTGTTAAAACAGTGATACCAGTTTCTGTATGCTAGACACAAACTGTTTCTTATAAGATCTCTTCTTACAATTGATGATAGAGATTTGAGATCATTTAACTGATAAAAACTGTTTCTGATAGGTTAGATCTCTACTTACATCTGATAGAGATTTGAGACCATTTAACTGATAAAACTGTTTCTGATAAGTAAGATCTCTCATTAATATTCTGAGACAGGATAAAAGAAGGAATATGTTCTTTGGTGGAGCCTGAATAATCCATTCTCTGAAAAAACATTTTATAAATTTATTAGAAATTATGCTTCTTGATTTTTTCTCTAAACATAACAATTTAGAAAATGTTAACATCAAAATTATGGCACAAAATAAAACAAAATGTGGTCAAAATTTCCTGTCTGGTCTCAGGAAAATAAAGTTAATGTTTTCAAATCACTAGAGGTCTTTAAAATATACTCAACTTTCTTTGAACATTTTCAGTTGGTTCTTGACAATATTTGTATTAAAAAGTATTACACATGGAACTCTTGAATATCATGTACTATCTCTACTATACAGGTGAACAAACTTATTACTCACTCGCAACAGAGTCTGTACTTGATTAAAGCTGTGAACACTTCAGAAAACTTTGTACTCTGTGGATGTTGACTGAAGTTTCTCTCTGACTGGTACCTTGATCTAAACTTCTCTAAAGCAACTGATTCTGTAGACTGCAGTTGATGAGCACCTGATTTGGGTTGAGGTAGAGGCCATGGTGTCTGTTTGGTTAAAGGACTAGAGGATAGTTCTATGGACGGAAGCTAAAATAAATGTAGGTTGTTTGCATTTTTTGCACTTCCAAGAGTTTGTATCAAATGAAAAAGATTGTTGTCAACTATGTACATTCAGGTTTGTTAATAAGGTGTAAGAGTTTGGTGTCCGCTATCTAAATAATCATCCTATTGCTACTTGTAGGTGAATTTATTTGATGTAAGAATATGGTATCCACTAGATCAGTTTTTTTAACTTGATCCTTACATGAAGGTGAATTTATTAAGTATAAGTAAATTATGATGTCCACTATATAAAGGTGAACTTACCTGCTGTTTACTGGCAGGTGTATTTATTAGGTGTAAGAGGTTGTTGAGGTTCTTTCCTTCTCTGAAAAATATAAAACAACACTGATTATAGGGAAAAAATCACTTCACCAGTCATTTTCAATTAATCTATAAACAGATAACACAGATATATGTCTTGCCTGTAGAAGCTTTTAGTCATATGCTCCTCAAAACTTTATTACGGATTAAAGTGTTATGTTTATAACCACTACTAATCAGAAAAAAAATCTAATTTGAACAAATTAAAAATTACAGTACTAGTGTCAGTGAAGATATTAGAGGGTAGAAACTACTACAAAGTTAGGCTCATATTCTTCATTAAACTGACGTCTTGCCACTTCATACACACACCTAATATGAAAACATTAAAGTTTCTGGATGTTTATTTGCCTTTCCTAAGCCAGTGCTTGTCAATGGTTGCTGTCTGCAATATTTGTTTTTCATTTAATTTTACGAGGCCAGTTTCATCTTTAGAGTTGTTCCACATAGTGTTACCAATGGGCCTTGTATAACTTATTACAATACAGTTTATGTTTTTCTCCTTGTTGAAGGCCCTATGGTGACCTGTAATTGTTTACATAGTTGGTCTTTGTATTCTGTGGACAGTTATCTTATTGGCAACTATACCACATCAAGAACAACTCTTTCATTACCTTTTTGGCTGTTCCATGCCTCAGTTTGACAACCTCATTACCTTTTTGGCTGTTCCATGTCTCAGTTTGACAACCAATTTAGTTTAAATCGGTTATGATCTATTTGTACAAGCTATATATATATATGGTCATTACATTCAATGATGAATAGAATATATATATGCTTGTTGTCAATACAATCAACGTTCTATTTTAGTCACCTGATAGTAATTATACCTATCATCTTTCAGACAAAGCATAGTTTATTCTAGAAGTCTCTTGTTCATACTCTAATCTTAGTGCTTTTAAAATAATAAGTACCACTGCATAACAGTAAATCTAGCTAAATATACCCCCTTGACCCAGAAATATGAACTTTAAATCGTGACAAAATTCTATTGTGACATAACAATCTCAATTATCATAGATCTTTGTTTTAAACATACAATAAGAACAATTAGACAAATCATTGAACATTGTAATGGTATATTACCTGTAAAGCCTTTCATTTTCAAGGTTAACAAGTCTCATTAACCTTTTACTTTAATCTTTTTATCTTTACCCCAAAAAACCTTAAAAAATTGCACTGAATTAAAGTTGACTTCTGTTATATATTACGTTTGATGTTCTATGATAGTTTGCTGTCTTATTGATGCATTATATTTTCAAGACACAAAGGCTAATATAAGTACAAGCTATACGTAAGATAACAGTTTTTACAAGTGTTTATTCTGTGGTATTAAACTTCTTACAAATTCTCACTTTTCCAATCCTTTGTTTGAAAATAAACTTAAAAGCAATTTAAAACAGATCATCGATGTTTAAACAGTCTTATTAACCAAAAGAAAAGCCTTCAGTAAAGTTTGCATTTGTATAGATTAGAATGTCTATGTGCTCCTAGTCTGTATAAGTATAAATTGCTTTTCTGTGTAAACTTATAGATATAAATATCTAAAAGGCACTTGTTATCTTATCAACAGTTATTTCAACTTAATTCGCTCATTAATAAGACTTATATCATGATTTTATCAACACTTATTTTAGGTTAATTTGATAGATATGTCAAACAAGACTTCAATTATGATAATTATTTTTCTAGTGAAAACTAGTTCATAGGATCCTTTTTCAATTATTAGCACCATAAAAGTGTGGGTTTTTTTGGGGTGGGTATTCATTTTTCTCCATTATATAACTTATAAGATTTAGGTAGTAAAATGTTTGTCCTTATTTCGGCTAAGAAATGTACAAGCAGAATTGATCCCATAGTAAAGGTATTAGATAGTTGAACCTTGAGATGTTTGTGTCCTGAATAAATGCACTGTATTCATTCATCTCCATTATTATATAAGATTTAGGTGTTAGGTTGTAAATTTATTGACCTGAAATTTTTAACATCCAAATTTTTAGAATATGGGAAACCCTAAAAAGTATTTCTAAACAAAATAAGAAAATATGAGGTACACAATCACATAATGTGCTGTACACATGATGACACTATGTAAAACTTCTAAAAATTTATTTAATAGTTTAGGGAGAAAATATTAAAGGTACAGTATATAAACATTAAATGGCAAAGGGCTGTAACCTTCAAATATAAAAGGGAAAGGGAAACAGGGATATAAATTGAATTTCTCACAATAAACTTACATGAAATCTCGTACTATTAACTGTTATATCTGATAAAAACTTCTCATCAAAGATGCAAAAATTGTTTAAACTTTATTAACTAAGAGTAACACCTATCGGAACCCATTTTGATCATGCTCCTTAAAACTGCTAACTCCATAAACTCATACAAATAATACAAGAACATAAAAACCTATTTCATGCAATCATTTTATTTACAATTAAGTCAAGTTTTTAATCATTGTAATATTCCAACATCTTGCTCTGACAATGAGTGGAAACAAAAACATTAATCTGGAAGAATATTATTTTGACCCCTCAAATCAATGGTAAATTAATCACAAGACATAAACTTAGAATTTATCAAACATATCAACAATTAAATCCAAGACTTACATTTTACAAGTTTTATCCATAGTTTTCATCCTTCTCATCAAGCATGTGAAATATTGTGTTATGGTTTATCAATGTGAATTATATTTTATTACACACAAGACTGAACTTATCATACTTCCACGAGATCATGTTTAAATCGGTTCAACAATTAAAAATATATGAAGTAACGGGACCACAGATTTAAATACTGTGTCAATGTACCCTAAATAAATGTAATAACATATTAGAATGTAAATAGTTGGGGGTGTGAGATATGATATATTACTTCTGTCAACACAAGTTCACATTGTGTGTTTAAACCACCAGCAAAGGTATACAAAAACTCATTTATTTCAAATAAAAAATATACTAAGATCAAGAACAGACATGAACTGTTACCTGTAATTGAACTGTGTTACCTGTAATAAAATAGTCTGCTTCTGACAGTGTCTGATGATGATTGGCACTTTTAAAGTGATCTGACAAAACGTTTTTTTGTCATTAATAAGATTTAATTGTACAACAATTTTACAAAACCTTATAATATTTGAAAAGACAATAAACATGATAAAAACCAATAAGATCACCAATGATACAAAGAAAAAAGGGAAAAAATGAAGACATAAAAGAGTACTTAGTATATTTGACAAAAGTATTATTTTTAAATGCTTTGATTGTGATTTTCCAGTCAATTAATCTCCAATTTCATTTCCCACCATTATGTGGTGCCTTTACATTGTTCTATTCTACTATATCTAAATTAATCATAATTATATAACTATGAGCAATAGTCAATATAGCAATAACAATAAAGACATAGTTAATTCATGTGTAAAATGATAAAATCAATGCTATTGCCTTTCAACATCCACATCAATATGGAACCTCAGGATCACTTTACAGAGAGAACTAAAGGGTTCCAATGCAACATCCGTATTGAACTTCAGGATCTCTTAACAGAGCAAACTAAATGGTTCCAGTGCAACCTGTACTGCAGGTCAACATAAAACTAACATTTTACTGTTTGCAGAGCAAATTTCAATGTAGAGTACAGCTTTGCTGGATTCAAACATTTTCAAAGCAGTAAATCTAAAAACATTTGATAAATAGCAGAAATTTTGAAAGTTGAATGTGAAAGGTTGTGGGATCCATTTATGGCCTGGACAAAGACTCAAATGTATTCACTGAGGTTGTGGGATCCATTTATGGCCTGGGCAAAGACTCAAATGTATTCACTGAAGGTGTGGGATCCATTTATGGCCTGGGCAAAGACTCAAATGTATTCACTGAGGTTGTGGGATCCATTTATGGCCTGGGCAAAGACTCAAATGTATTCACTGAGGTTGTGGGATCCATTAATGGCCTGGGCAAAGACTCAAATGTATTCACTGAGGTTGTGGGATCCATTTATGGCCTGGGCAAAGACTCAAATGTATTCACTGAGGTTGTGGGATCCATTTATGGCCTGGGCAAAGACTCAAATGTATTCACTGAAGGTGTGGGATCCATTTATGGCCTGGGCAAAGACTCAAATGTATTCACTGAGGTTGTGGGATCCATTTATGGCCTGGGCAAAGACTCAAATGTATTCACTGAGGTTGTGGGATCCAATTATGGCCTGAGCAAAGACTCAAATGTATTCACTGAAGGTGTGGGATCCATTGATGGCCTGGGCAAAGACTCAAATGTATTCACTGAGGTTGAGGGATCCATTTATGGCCTGGGCAAAGACTCAAATGTATTCACTGAGGTTGAGGGATCCATTGATGGCCTGGGCAAAGACTCAAATGTATTCACTGAGGTTGAGGGATCCATTTATGGCCTGGGCAAAGACTCAAATATATTCATTATTTCTCTGCTTAACATGCAACAATAAGAAGTAAAATTGACAACTGCCAAGCAGGGAATCAGAATAAATGTTCTAAGTAATGTGACATGTTCTCCTGTTTGACTCAGCGATTACATGTCTTCTGAACAAAGTAGGATTGTTCAAATAATGGTGCTCATCTTCGTCTTTTAGTTTGAATTGGCAGCTGTCACATTGGCAATCAAATAACCACATCTCATTATTTCTATATGGTACACTAACAGTTCTTGTTATAAAAAGAATGAAAAATAGAAATCCATATTATCATAATTCTCTGCACTGTGTCTCAAGTTGTGAAAAAACAGCTTAAATATGAATCTTTTTCAAATTTCCAGTCAATTCCAATTTTGTACCTCACTAAATGTGTAGACAATGTATTGTGTCCTAGATCATACTTGATCTTAATAAAGAAAACATCAATTAGTACATAATAATCAATTACTTTCAATAATATGGAATTTATCTGAATATATTATACATGTTTATATAGAGAAATGACACTTTGCTCAACAAATTTACATGAAAATGACCTTTGCCCTTTGTTCAATGTATACAGACTATTGAATTTATTATGTAATGTAAACATAAAACTTTCACTTTTAAATTTATTATCTGTAAAGCCAATATATTACTATATTTAATTTATCTAATAAAATAATAAATTCAGATTCAATTTTTCAAACCAAGAGCACTTATTCAATTAACCACTGCATCATGAGTGTATGGGTTTTGAAAATCGGAAACATCAAATTTGATTTATTGTACAAAATGTAAAATTTTCCACCCTTATCTATAGTTTAAATCTACATTCATGCCAATGTCAAATAAAAAAGATCTTTTTCATTTGTTAAATTTCATATTAGCGATCAGGGATTAGCAATAGAAACCTACATTTTGTTAAAGAATGAAATTTTGTCATAGCAAATCTAACTGAACTATTGATCTTGTACTACTAGAATAAAAAAAAAATGCTGATATTATCTTCCCATGAAAACAATTATAAATGCACATGTACTGATATGACATGGATTGGTTGCTGTTTACATTATGTGACAGGACAATAATGGTAACCTTCAAATTGTCAAAATTATTTTAGTTTTAGTGACATAAAATATGAGTCAAAACTAATGACATGGTTCCAACACATCGATGGACTGGACATTATAAAAAGGCTTTCCTCCAACAACAAAATGAAAATTCCAATCTTTAAATATCACATTTATTATGATCATATTTTTTTTCTGCAATTGCACTTTTATGGTCTATATGTTAGATTAGGATAATCGATTGTGGGACCAGAGAAATGTCGAAATTGTCGTAAATGACAACAAAAAATTAGACAGATAATCTAATACATGTATCTGATTAAAGGAATATCTGAAATAAGCTGAACTATGAACTAATGTTCACTAATAATACAAAAATGTATTACATGTAGTACATCATGTAGATAATGTAAACGATTAATGATAAAATGCATCACATGCATGAAGCTACATGTAGCTACCAAATTTCAGAAGGCTATGATTTTTAGTTCATAAGAAAAATTAGACTAAAATTTGATAGGACAGACAGCTGGAGGTAAACTGCATGGAGTATTCTCCCTTCCTTCTGAATAAGGAATCAACAAACACAATTCAACTAAAAAAGGTCAATCCAGAGGCCAACATACTGTCCCAAATGATTGACCTTAATTACCAAACAATGTACGTCAACTTATAAAGTAGCCAAATTTAAAAGTCACCACCATAAAATTTTCACATTTAATTTCTATTTCATTTATTAATACCCTTAACAGATCCTGATCTTTACTGTAAAACATCAAATAACATAGATATAAATCCATCATTTACACAAAAATATAAAATAACATAATTTAACCATGAGTTTGTTAAAGACTGTCTGCTGTCGATATAACTTAGTACACTATGAAAGGGAGATAACTTCTGAAGTGAGCACTTATAAGGAAGACTTCATAAAATATTTTTGCATTTCACTCTGACTAGGGCAATACTACAATGTATAAGCCATCAAGGAGAACCTAATGAAAATTCTTCATTTCACTTCTGTCAAAAACAACTAAATCAAGACAAGTTACAGGTTCTTTACAATTTATAGAATTACAGCTAAAAAATCTCAATGTACGATCTACACCTCAATTGAGCAGCTGACATGAAATATTTCAACAATAAACCACAAACTGTAACTAGTTCTAATTATACAATTGCAAGTCATTAGAATAATTTTGGTTCATATGAAATTGTCTTAACAGTATTTGTAAGAAAATTCTCTCATGCATTGTAAAGTATCTGATATCATCAGCAATTTGTATTTCACAACTTAATTTAAGACTTACTGTTCAGGTGAACTTTGCCTCTCAGAAGTCGGCATAATTCTGGACGGAATTTGTAAGGATAAGGAACCTCGCAATCTTCTTCTTCACATGATGTCCCAAGGTAAGTTTTACATAGTTAACTGAAAAACAAACATTTATGTGTAAAACAATCATATTTATAATCCAAATTGAATCATCACTCAGTATTCATGCTTACTAATACATTTGTAAACTTAAGTATCATCTGACTCAGTCAATAAACATCTAATATCAAATTTGTGATTTCAAAATAATGTGTTAAATCTGTCTATACTGTCAGAACAGAATCAAAATAATTAAAATTGCATTTTCATGCATCAGAAAGGTTATATGAAGTAGGAATAAAACCTGAACATATTAATGAGAACAACCTACCCCATAATTAAACAACAACAAGAATGTGTCCATAGTACATGGATGCCCCACTCGCACTATCATTTTCTATGTTCAGTGGACTGTGATATTGGGGTCAAAACTCTAATTTGGCATTAAAATTAGAAAGATCATACCATAGGGAACATGTGTACTAAGTTTCAAGTTGATTGGACTTCAACTTCATCAAAAACTACCTTGACCAAAAACTTTAACCTGAAGCGGGACAGATGGACGAACGGACGGATGCACAGACCGAAAAACATAATACCCCTAGTTGGAGCATAAAAAGGACAAAAAAACTTATTATTTTAGAGCCTGTATTAAGACATAGATGCCTAGCATTAAAATCTAAGAGAAAAATGTGTTTTATTTCATAAGACAGCAGAGATGAAATACATGTATCATTGATATAATACCCCCAAAAGTGAACTTAATCACTTTCACCACTATAAGTCACTCATACATGAGATCAGACCCTAGTGACCTCATTTCACCTAAATGTTGCTGAAATACACAATATACAATTTGCAAGTACACCTGTAAAAAAACACTGATCACATTGGACTCTTATTTCTCACTGTAGACTAGAGTAGGTCAGTAACATGAGTAACCTAACTGTAATGTTAAATATTTATATATGCCTAAAAACAGATTTTGGGGGAGATTGATTGATTGTTGGTTGGTTAATGTTTTTTGGGGGGAGAGAAAAACAGATTGATTATGTATGATCAGTCGCTACATATTTCAACCAAAGCTAGGACAGTAATCATAATTATGATGATTCTTAAATTGGGCCAACCTTCCAGTGAATTCTAAACCAGATATATCTGATCCGTAAATTGAATTTCTCAATTTGCTTTGCATACATGTACATATATATTATATCTGAATTAGAAATATATAATTATACTACTACCCGGTACATGTAAAATTGAGAATGGAAATGGGGAATGTGTCAAAGAGACAACAGCCTGACCAAAGAGCAGAAAACAGCCGAAGGCCACCAATGGGTCTTCAACACAGAGAGAAAATCCTGCACCCAGAGGCAGGCTTCAGCTGGCCCCTAAACAAAAATGTGTACTAGTTCAGTGAAAATGGATGTCATACTAAACTCCAAAACTTACATATAAATGAACTAAAATTAAAAAACATACAAGACTAACAAAGGCCAGAGGCTCCTGACTTGGGATAGGCGCAAAAATGCAACGGGGTTAAACATGTTTAGTGAGATCTCAACCCTTCCCCTATACCTCTAGCAATGTAGAAAAAACAAACACACAGCAATACGCACAGTAAAACTCAGTTTAAAAGTACATGTACAATATATGTATGAACATTCAATATTAGATTAGTTATTTAAATAAATTATAATATATATTGAATCAGGAAATAAACGATAAATGTTAACACACTTATAGATCAATGGCAATTTTCTTGTATCTTTGATGAGTTTTTATGAGACAGCAATCCAACAAAAAAAAACCTTAGAAAATTTGTACAACATTGGTGACCAAAAGATATGAATAAAAGAAAATGCATCATTTACGTCAATATGACAGCAATCAACTGACTGAAGAAAAAACCATATAGAGGTCAATATATAGAAAGATGTCATTTTTACCTACCCTGATATATTTTGTTATTGTCTCAGTGTTCTTTACCTACCACATTCAATTCAGTAACAAAATAATGATTGGCTTTGTGGCAGATCTTTGACATTGAGATAGTGTGAGATAATCTCAGTTACAAGGTATTCAGTTTGAAGAGGAACAGGATGTGATTTATATCAATACTTGTATTGTTACTCTTATCATGTTTTAAGGTCAAAAATTCAAATTAAAACAAAAATATTTAAGTTGCCAAGATTACAACATTGAAAGAAAGGTGAAAATGGTTTCTAAATTGTAAATGTTTAACAAACTTTTAATAGTAGCACACTGGCTATTTACATGTATGTAATTTCAGATGGAAACCCTTACTCTATCTGCATATGGGAATGTTGATTAAGTAGGATACTTTCTATATACATGTATATAAGTAGATATGTGCTGTTTTTAATGAGATATATGTTATTAGTAAGTTTTCATATTTTATAATTATAATATATTGTATATGATCCATCGCCCCGTAAGATTTATCGTTGGCTATATTATTCAGTCATTTTATATATATATATATATCATTGAAAACCATTAAAATTAATTTCAGGTTCAAATATCTGCATTTGCATGGACCTCCTTTTGACCCTACAATTGTATGCTTATTCTCTCAATAGAGGGGTCAAAAAGGCAGTATTCTCTTAGTTTACATGTAATTCTAAATTAAAAAGAAGTACATTAACAGACCAGAAAATAAACTTGCTGTTGCTTTGTAATTATTGTCTCTTTTAGTAAATAAACTGTTAACACAGAGATGTGTCTCGCTTATTTGTTATTTTGATAATGCAAATATTGAAATTAAAATAGCCATACTTTAACATGTAAGTTATGCAAATATTCAAAGTCAATGAACCATGACTGAAGGTACAGGGCTAAACAATCTCCATGGAAATGAGATGTGCCAATGCTAATACAACTGCATACCAAATTTATACGATTGACTTTTCATAAGTCGTTCCCTTTAAACAAACCTAAACACAAACATTAACTTGTAAACTATGTAAATGTTTCAAAGTCAATGAATCATAATTAGGGGGTAGGGTTATATAATTTCCATGGAAATGAAACTTGCAAACCGAATATCATTGACTTAACTTTAGTGGTTCATCTTAAACTCACCTAATCACAAACTTATACATGTAAACTAAGCAAAAGTTTCAAAGTCAGTAGACCATGACTGAGGGGTAAGGACCAAATATTCTCCATGGAAATGAGATGTGCTAACGCTTATACAACTGCATACCAATTATCATTGACCTACCACTAACGGTTCCCATTAAACTGACCTAATCACAAACTAATACATGAAAACTAAGCAAAAGTTTCAAAGTCAATAGACCATGAATGAGGGGGCAGGGCCAAATAATCTCCATGGAAATGAGATATATGCCAATGCTTATACAACTGCATACCAAATATCATTGACCTACCACTAGTGGTTCCCCATAAACTGACCTAATCACAAGCTAATACATGTAAACTAAGCATAGTTTCAAAGTCAGTAGACCATGACTGAGGGGTAAGGACCAAATATTCTCCATGGAAATGAGATGTGCTAACGCTTATACAACTGCATACCAATTATCATTGACCTACCACTAACGGTTCCCATTAAACTGACCTAATCACAAACTAATACATGAAAACTAAGCAAAAGTTTCAAAGTCAATAGACCATGAATGAGGGGGCAGGGCCAAATAATCTCCATGGAAATGAGATATATGCCAATGCTTATACAACTGCATACCAAATATCATTGACCTACCACTAGTGGTTCCCCATAAACTGACCTAATCACAAGCTAATACATGTAAACTAAGCATAGTTTCAAAGTCAATAGACCTTGACTGAGGGGGCAGGGCCTATTAATCTCCAGGGTAATGAGATGTGCCAATGCTAATACAACTGCATACCAAATATCATTGACCTACCACTAGTGGTTCACCATGAACTAGACCTAATCACAAACTAATACATTGTTGACGCTGCCGCCGACGCCGGAAACAGCATACCTATGCACTCGCTTTTAGTCTCTGTCAAGGCGAGACAAAAAAGGACTTCAACTGAGCTTGTGGTTAATAGTGAAGATTGACCTGGTTCATAGGTCTTCAACTGAGCTTGTGGTTAATTGTGAAGATTGACCTGGGTCATAGGACTTCAACTGAGCTTGTGGTGAATCATGAAGATTGACCTAGTTCATAGGACTTCCACTGAGCTTGTGGTTAATCATGAAGATTGACCTTGATGGGAGAGTAGCAAATACATGTATACTTGGGTTAGATTATCATATCTGACACCTTATTTCCAATGAAATATATAAGCCGGTCAAGGCAAGGTTTGGCAGAAAATACTGCAACTGGTTTTTACTGCCCTTGTTAATACTCCTAATTGAGTTATATTACATTGTAGCTCTGTAATATAACAGTATATTTACAGAACCTGTTTAAATTAGTTTGTTAAATACAAGTGACCTGTAAATAAGATTGACAAAAGTGAACATTCAGAAAATGTCTATGGTTGGTAAAAAGTTAATGGTTTTGGGGAAGAATTAAAATCAGTCAGGTAATTGGAACTGCATATATTGTTAACTTGACCGTGATACCAATAGATATTGCTTTATTATAAATCTGATTAAGATACAGATCCTGCTAAAAATGCTTACAAGGATCTGACAACACACTGTTCTGGTAATTATTACATCAGCCAATGGAATTTCAGCCTTCAAATTTTTGAAGGTGTGTATTAATCCGACAAAAACAATAGGATCCCGAAAGGTTTTAATACAGAAAGTATAATAGAGCATTTTCATATCCTTGTAAGCAAAGCTTGGACACACAGGATCTGTAATCAGATTTCTCTATCAATCACAGCTTAAACTAACAAAACTGACTGCAAAAGTGTCCTTTCAAAATGAATATAATTCAAAAATAAAAGTATTTGAAACTGAAGAGATTTATAGCAAATGCATAGTTACTCAAATTATATTATTTTAATTCAAAAACTACATATATGTATATACAGAGTACTATATTTGGAAACATTTAACACATGTAGAGCTTACATTCATAAGCAGTATTTGGAAGGTTCTGCTTTTAATCTGCAATTTAAGGTAGATTTGGAGTCTTTTCTGGGAATCCCTTATACATGTTATAGGTGTTGCAAAAATACTTTTTTGCTTTAAAAATATTTTACCAAGCCTCATTTAACATACAGCCATTGACAGCAGAAACTTCTAAGACTTGAAATGTAAAGAATAAACAATCAAAAAAGTCAAGTCATGTGCCAGTGTCGTTGTGTATTTAAAATTTTCAGAACATCCAACGCATGTGCAGTATGCCTCCAAATGTATTGAAAATAATTTTGAAAGGTTTATCATATTTTTTTAATTTGGTGGTAATAAATGTAAACAACTTTCAAACTTCATGATTTATTCAATGCATTTGGAGTAATACAGCACATGCATTTGATGTCCACTTGGGTCACCCGTAATGGACTAAAAAAAATATAGCTAAGGAATGAAACTTTGTAATGTCTGTACAGCGTGATTGTGCAAACATTATACAAACCACTTGACTAACAGAGACCATAAGGTATGTCTTTTATTGGTCCATACATTGCCTAATTTGTATGGTTTAATGGACAGATAGTGCATAAAATGCCAGAAGCGAGCAGGTGTACGATATTGAAGTTTTCGATCTTTCCTGCCCTTGAAAAGAGCAAGAAAACATTAAATATGTTAAAAAATTAAAAAACAAAATAATATATATATATAGAAACAGGGGTCTATTCCATGGCTTCCAAAACAGTCATATATTCCGGACATTTATAAATTTACCGGACATTGTCCGTCTGGGAATAGCATGAAACGGTCATCTACTTTTAATTTTCAAGGCTTCCTTAAGAGACGGTCATTTTAACATAATTCAAAATTGGAAGTTCGATCTTTTTGACCCGACATTTTGCCTTAAACAGCCACACATTTCCGGTCATAAATTTATTTTTAAACAATTAATTTGTGTTTATTTGTTATTGTCAGTCAAATAAAATATTATTATCCAACATGGTATATGTTGACAACCTCCCCTTCATGAGACAAAATTTCATGAAAATCTGTATATGAAATATTGTCTCAATACACACAAAATATAACCTTTCTTTAACAGGACAAAATTTCATAGTATTCATGTGTGAAATTTTGTCTAGATACAGACAAAATTTCACAATGTAAATGTGTCCTTCCCTGGACATTTTTTCATAGATGAGGACAATTATTTCATGATACATAGTCATGAAATATTGCCTTGGGGGCAATATTTCATAGGACAATATTTTGCTTTACATATACAGGAGGGTCGTAATAGGGGTACCTTCATGACGAATAACGGTAAAAATTCTTGCCAAATGATGTTAACGGTAATTTTTGGTGCATGACGATAAAATGTACACTTTCTTTTAAACGATAAAAAATTCGACTGATTTTGACGAATCATGTTCATTTTTTTCCAAAAATATAACGATAATTATTTGGGACCCCTGACGAATCACGATAAGGATATTTTGACGAATCACGGTAAAATTTTAACCAATTTGACGCTAACGGTAGCCGAAAATGACCGTTTTACGCCTGACGGTAAAGGGCATTACTAACTATCCTCAAATAAGCTCAAACAGTTATAATTTACTGCACCTGTTTGAAGCTTGACAGACTTGATACACATGATACAAAATAAGCTTTATTCAAAGTCTGCCTGGCTTACAATACTTAAACACAACTCAAATGAGCTTTTAACCAACTGAACAAGACATAACGGTATTTTGATTCGCTTGATTGAATATTATTGACAGATCAGGGTTTCTAAATAGAAGTAAGACATTATCTTATCAATTTTCACCAACGAAAAAACATATTGGTAATTTTTTCTCGTTTCCTGTAAATTAATATTTGTCAGTCTATACAGCGGTTATCGTTTAAAAGTTCGAAATCAAAGAAAATTGTCAACAAACATACCTGATTTTACCTGCAAAATCAATCACCTGCAGACATTTTCGTAACCTACTAGGATCCAATCAAACATTCTGTTGCAAAACTTTAATAACCAATTAAAATTAACCTTTCTAAACCAGCTGACAGGAAGCACAGACTGGTATAAAATACTTATTACCGTATACAGGAAACAGATCGTCAAAACGGAAGGAACGAAAAACTATTATGCAGGAAATTGTTATAAATGTCAGACGAGAACATCTGTAATTCGTTAAAAAAGGTGAAAATAATGTAAAACGTTTTGTGTACCAAAATTGTAATGGAATAATGTTAATCGTTCTAGAAAAAATGCCACGCCCACCTTTTCTGTACTTTCATTTTCACTTTAATCTGACCTAATTCAATTTATTTTTGAGGAACATGGATTTTTTTTTTATAAAACCATTTTTTTTAAACTTTTTTTTTTCCTCATCAAAATCATATGGAGAAGGTGGGCAGTCATAATTGCATAAAAAATTCAGTAAACCTAACCCTGGTCATTTGAATTCAAATGGTTTAAAAAGTTCAATTGCTAAATTTTAAACTTAATTTCTTTTTTTTTCAGTTTAAAAATGTTTAGATGTCCATCGATTTCTATTCAAAAAAGAATTTTGGACAAAATAGACAAAGTCAATGCAACCGATCAGTGGATGTATGGTGTTTCCAAACAATGGATGGAAGAATTCAGAAAACAGTTTGAGAACATGACTGATACTGTAACCATTTCTAATGAATTGACTTGTTCACCTCTAAAGTCTGATTTGGAAGTAGAAAAAAATGTGTTTTTGTCAGAGAAATGGTGGAAAATATTGGTCACATGGTATGGTATTGAAAAGGAATGTAGTATAATAAGGCATCCAGTGTTCTCATCTTACATGACAATAATACATGGTAGCATTCAACATTCAGTACTAAGTAAAAAGGAAGTGGATTATATAGAAATTTCTACTTGTATGTTTTCAAATATTGACGACAAATCATCCTATAGGTCAGTTACTTTGTATGCTTGGGACAGTTTTGAATATTTAGAAAATCAGTTAAGAAAAAGATTGGCTTTTTCATCAAAGGTAAAAGGTCGTTTATGGTTAATTGTGCAAGAAAATGGGAATGAAATTGTATTTGATAATCTTGACAAAGTCTCAGTATCAGTTGTTGCCAAATTGTCAGAATATCTCACTTGGCTGTCTGAATTCCTGTCCAAGAGAGACCAGCAGACACTTTCAAGAAGTAATGGAACAATAGATCCATTCCTATTTGCAGAAAGGAAGGTTCAAATTATTGTTGCCATAGAACCTTTATCTTTCGATTTATATCACAGTAAAAAAGATGCTGATGGTTGGATACAGTATGATGTAGACTTGGGAGGAGAGTGTGAGAGTATTGTTACCTTGGCAACAATCAACAATCACTGGGATGAAATTTTCACCAATTGCCTTGATGAACTCACAAGGGAGGTAACTGATATAACCTTGGACAAACGTGCAACTCTTATTAATACAGCGAAGGATATTGTAAATGAAAAGCTTTCACAGACAAATATAATCCAGGTGGAAATGGAAAATAAGATAAAGCAGTCAGATGAGAAAGACAAACTTCTGATGAAAAAAGAACGAGAAATCAAGGGAAGAGAAGATGAATTGAAACAAAAACTAGTACAGTATAAAGATGGCTTAGATTCATTCATGAAAGAAAAGTGTCGTCTTGAATTAGAGTGGAAAAAAGTACAAGAACAAAACATTATAACTGACTCTCAAATCATACTTAATATAGGAGGAGAAAAGTTTACAACTTCCTTGACAACTTTAACTAATGTACAAGACTCTGTCTTTGTTCATTTATTTTGTGGGACCTATATTGCAAAGCCTGGCAAAGATGGCAGCTATTTTTTCGACAGGGATGGAACTCATTTTCGTCATATTCTAAACTACCTTAGAAATGGTCCAAAAGCAATTGCAAGCATTCCTGATGAAGAAAGTGTTCTTGAGGAAACTTTGAGTGATGCAAAATATTACATCTTACCAGAGCTGGAAGCTTTGATAAAACAAAAACTTGATAATTTGAGTGTAAAGTCTGTAGCCATTGGTGACATGGAAATCATATCTTATCCTTCATTTTCTTCTTACTCCTCTAAATAAGCATTAGAAAATTAAAATTCAAGACTTTGAAATCATAAATTTTTTTGATAAAATTCATTTACTAGCAAATAATTACCTAGTTGGTACATCTGATACTACACTATTGACTTTAAACATTAATCCGATATTTAACATCTATTTGCTGCACTATTGAATAAAAACAATTACTCTATTTGGTACAACTGCTCATTACAGTATTGGCTTTAAACAAATACTCTAGTTGGTACATCTGTTCATTGGACTATTGGCTTTAAACAATTACCCTAGTTGGTACAACTGTTTATTACACTATTGACTTTAAACAATTACCCTAGTTGGTACAACTGTGTATTACACTATTGGCTTTAAACAATTACCATAGTTGGAACAACTGTTTATTACACTATTGGCTTTAAACAATTACCCTAGTTGGTACAACTGTTTATTACACTATTGACTTTAAACAATTACCCTAGTTGGTACAACTGTTTATTACACTATTGACTTTAAACAATTACCATAGTTGGTACAACTGTTCATTGGACTATTGGCTTTAAACAATTACCCTAGTTGGTACAACTGTTTATTACACTATTGACTTTAAACAATTACCCTAGTTGGTACAACTGTGTATTACACTATTGGCTTTAAACAATTACCATAGTTGGAACAACTGTTTATTACACTATTGGCTTTAAACAATTACCCTAGTTGGTACATCTGTTTATTACACTATTGGCTTTAAACAATTACCCTAGTTGTTACATCTGTTTATTACACTATTGACTTTAAACAATTACCCTAGTTGGTACAACTGTTTATTACACTATTGACTTTAAACAATTACCCTAGTTGGTACAACTGTTTATTACACTATTGACTTTAAACAATTACCCTAGATGGTACAACTGTTTATTACACTATTGGCTTTAAACAATTACCCTAGTTGGTACATCTGTTTATTACACTATTGGCTTTAAACAATTACCCTAGTTGTTACATCTGTTTATTACACTATTGACTTTAAACAATTACCCTAGTTGGTACAACTGTTTATTACACTATTGACTTTAAACAATTACCCTAGATGGTACAACTGTTTATTACACTATTGACTTTAAACAATTACCCTAGTTGGTACAACTGTTTATTACACAATTGGCTTTAAACAATTACCCTAGTTGGTACAACTGTTCATTACAGTATTGGCGTTAAACAATTACCCTAGTTGGTACAACTGTTTATAATGCTAGTGACTTTAAACAATTACCCTAGTTGGTACAACTGTTTATTATGCTATTGGCATTAAACAATTACCCTAGTTGGTACAACTGTTTATTGGACTATTGGCTTTAAACAATTACCCTAGTTGGTACAACTGTTTATTACACTATTGGATTTAAACAATTACCCTAGTTGGTACAACTGTTCATTGGACTATTGGCTTTAATCAATTACCCTAGTTGGTACAACTGTTCATTGGACTATTGACTTTAAACAATTACCCTAGTTGGTACAACTGTTTATTGGACTATTGGCTTTAAACAATTACCATAGGTGGTACATCTGTTTATTACACTATTGGCTTTAAACAATTACCCTATTTGGTACAACTGTTCATTGGACTATTGGCTTTAAACAATTACCCTAGTTGGTACAACTGTTCATTGGACTATTGGCTTTAAACAATTACCCTAGTTGTTACATCTGTTCATTGGACTATTGGCTTTAAACAATTAACCTAGTTGGTACATCTGTTCATTGGACTATTGACTTTAAACAATTACCCTAGTTGGTACAACTGTTCATTGCGAATCATTGGACTATTGGCTTTAAACAATTACCCTAGTTGGTACATCTGTTCATTACACTATTGACTTTAAACAATTTATCGAATTTGGTACAACTGTTCATTGGACTATTGACTTTTAACAATTACCCTAGTTGGTACAACTGTTCATTGGACTATTTGCTTTAAACAATTACCCTAGTTGGTACAACTGTTCATTACACTATTGGCTTAAAACAATTACCCTAGTTGGTACAGCTGTTCATTGGACTATTGGCTTTAAACAATTACCCTAGTTGGTACAATTGTTCATTGGACTATTGGCTTTAAACAATTACCATAGTTGGTACATCTGTTTATTACACTATTGGCTTTAAACAATTACTCGAAATTTGGTACAACTGTTCATTACACTATTGACTTTAAACAATAACCATAGTTGGTAAAACTGTTTATTACACTCTTGGCATTAAACAATTACCCTTGTTGGTACAACTGTTCATTGGACTATTGGCTTTAAACAATTACCCTAGTTGGTACAACTGTTTATTGGACTATTGGCTTTAAACAATTACCCTAGTTGGTACATCTGTTCATTGGACTATTGGCTTTAAACAATTACCCTAGTTGGTACATCTGTTCATTGGACTATTGACTTTAAACAATTACCCTAGTTGGTACAACTCTTCATTGCGAATCATTGGACTATTGGCTTTAAACAATTACCCTAGTTGGTACATCTGTTTATTACACTATTGACTTTAAACAATTTCTCGAATTTGGTACAACTGTTCATTGGACTATTGACTTTTAACAATTACCCTAGTTGGTACAACTGTTCATTGGACTATTGGCTTTAAACAATTACCCTATTTGGTACAACTGTTCATTACACTATTGGCTTTAAACAATTACCCTAGTTGGAACAACTGTTCATTGGACTATTGGCTTTAAACAATGACCCTAGTTGGTACAATTGTTCATTGGACTATTGGCTTTAAACAATTACCATAGTTGGTACATCTGTTTATTACACTATTGGCTTTAAACAATTACTCGAATTTGGTACAACTGTTCATTACAGTATTGACTTTGAACAATTGCTCGAATTTGGTAAATCTGTACATTATACTATTGACTTACAAATTATCGTAGTTGATGCATCTATTCAATGAACTATTGGCTTTACACAATTAGTGATTAACTTAGTTTGTACATCTGTTCATTGGACTATTGACTTCATTTTTTACTGACAATCGATGTCAATACCAAGCAAATGGACAGTTTTTTTTTATCTGACAATCGATGTCAATACCAAGCAAATGGACAGTGTTTTACCTGACAATCGATGTCAATAACAAGCAAATGGACAGTTTTTTTAAATTAAAAATCGATGACAATACCAGTCAATTTGACAGCTATTTTAGTATACGAACATGGATAGTAGGCCTATACTACCTGTACCACTGCTTATAAACACATAAATTCAACTGCCGCTAATCGAAATTCACCTTCTAAATTTAGCACATTTCACAATTGTGTTAAAGGAGGCAATGCCTCTGCAGCTAGATTGTTCAACAAAAACGAACATGGATATCCACAAATATTCCCGTGCAATGCCAGAAAATGACAAACCTGCTCCAGATTATCTTCAGATAATACCGTTTGGTCATCAGTGAACGGAAGAACTTATTCTGTCTCCTTTCCAATGACATTACTCGAAAAACCCAAAGTTTCATATATCTTGTAACATGAACAAAACCGAAATGTAGTATTCAATATGTAGGGCAAACTGGACGTGAATTTTTCATACGAACACAGGAAAATCTATAACGCTTCCGTAGACCTAAGAAATTCAAAAGTTTAATTTACATTAGATAAACACAAATACAATATGAATTAAATTTATAAAATACCAACCACTTCATACCGTCCATAAACATCCAGGACAATCATATAAACAGTTTGAAGATTATCGTAAAATTTGCAAACTTTCTTGGATTAAACGACTCCAGACAGCGTATCCCCTAGGTCTAAATGCAATATCATGGGCCAAGGGAACATATCTAAAAATTCCTCTATTGATATCATGACTATTGTTGATAAAAGACAACGCAATCATAGGTCTCATGGCAATCGCATTAACCACAATCAACGAAATAAACATCGTTCTATTTTTACACTTGATAATTTTTTTTATCTATATTTAAAAACAATTGTAGACATCAATTATTATGCCAATTGGTAAATTACATAATATTTATAACGAGTGTGATACAATATCGTTTTTAAGTCTAAAATATGAATGTACACGTATTATCATAGCTTTTTGTAACAATAGACTGTTCACTCAAATTGACAAACCTGAAGATCATAAAAAGTATTTTCTAAAAGAAAAATACATTTATAGAGGTATTGATTTTATTAATTTGTCTAGTACTTTTCATAACTCTACCGTTCAAAACTTAATACCTCCATATTTTGATAACATTGAGACGCCTATAATTTCTTATATACGTAAAAAAAACCACAGAAGTTTAATTTTTAATTTTACGTCAGTTACATCTAAACGTTAGAAAAGAAAATAATGCTCCTTCAACACGAGACTGTGAAACATCGAAGTTTAGGTATGATCCCTATGACCATGTAATTACAGGGAACCTCAACATCGTTAAATACCGAGAGGTTATAAACTTTCAGAAAAAAAGACCAAAATATCGTCCACCGTGGAAAATAAATTGGAAGAGTGTCGTCAGGTTATTAAAGATGCTCTGTCATCCTGTATTGTAAAAAATGGTGTAAACGGGAGAAATCTGACAAAAAGTCACTTGATTCCTATTTAAATAAATGTCTGAATATTGTTGATATTCGCATATCACATTTCGAAAATAATTTAGAAATAAATAAAAGAGTAAGTAATACGCCCATTTCTAGTATTAAAACCAAATTCAAGTAATCGAAAAGCGTTTTGTGTTTGTACGGGCAGACAAAGCAGCCAATTTGTGTTTGTACGGGCAGACAAAGCAGCCAACAATGTGGTGGTGGTATGACGTAAATACTACACGGAAATCCTTAAGAATGAAATTATACATTCAACTACATTCAAGGCCGTACGCTCCATGCATAGAGAATCATAAAGTAAATAATCATGGCACTACCACAGCTCAACTTAAGGCCTACTCTGAACATTTGAAGGTCCCCACTATGTATTGGTTACCTAAACTACACAAAAAACTAGTAAAGTATCGTTTCATCTCGGCCTCTAGTAAGTGTTCTACTACTAATCTTTCTGTGCTTTTAACGAGTACCTTAACTACTATCAAATAACTTATCATTAATTTTTGTAATAAAACATATGAAAATATTGGAATTAACCATTTTTGGAGTGTAAAAAATTCTTTGGA